GTCCTGGTACCCATTCTGCGGTGTCAAGTACTCATCGCTGTCAGACTCGTGGGGCGGTGGTGGGGGCAGTGGTCGTGAAGACAGAGTATTCGTTCGCTGAGGTGACCCGTGGGGCGGAACTTCAGGAGTGGGGGGAAGGGCGTTGGACTGGAAACTTCCGTATCTGTCGCTGCGCTGTGAGCCATAGCCAGTGTCGTAGACTGGTGGAGAGGGCAACGGAGCATGCGAGCCGCTCGACGAGTAGTACCCTGATGAGTTGGAGGCATTCCGAGAAGGCCGGTTGCCCCAATCGTCAGCGGGAAGTTGTGTGCTTCCAGGAGGCACAGGTAGTGGGGGCGGTGCAGGTGTGGCATAAGAGGAAGCACCTCTCTGGACCGAGCCTGCTCTCCCAAACTGCGACTGTTGGTATGAAGAGGGCGAAGGGTACGTGGCAGTGGGAGAGGTGGGGGAGAAGGCATAGTTTTGGTTTGTAGTATTCGTCCTGACGAGACTGTTGCTCGCATAGGCAGCCGGGTTGTAGGGCTGGTGGGAGGCGGTTGTTGCGACGGGAGGTGCAAAGGGTCTGCTGACACCGCCGTAGTGCGAAGGGTTGGGTAGGGCGACGGGCTGTGTGTTGTTGTAGTTCTGGGGGTTGTATTCGAGTTGCTGTCGCTGCGGTGGGTAGGCATAGCCGGCACCGGTGCTGTATCCACCAGCCGTAGGCGACATTGGACCCTGAGTGATGTGCGGGGAGTTTGCAGCGGCTATGAAGAGCTCGTCGTTCTGGCGCGCAGCCACGCTGTTGCGGCGCTCTGGCTGGGCATAACCGTAGCCGTAGTCTGAAACCGCGCCTGCGCCTGCAGTGCCTCCGTTTGCACCATCGTTTGGGTCGGTGCTGGACGAGGAGCGGTGGTAGGGGTCCTGGTATTGGCCTTGGGCGCCCACGTTGGAATGTGGAATGTTTGGGTTGTAGTAATTCTGGCCGTTCCCGTAGTACGACATGGCGGCGGGCGTGGGCGAGAGTGGCTACGTGGGCGCAATGGGATGTGGTGCGGTCAAAAGCGTCATTCACGAGGCTACCTGGCGAGGATGCGCGGGCACCATGACCAGGGCGGCTAAGCTGAGCGAGGGTCTGGGGGGGTTCAGCAGACTGGCCGCGCAAGAGCAACGAGGACGCACGAGGTGGTGCAGCGACCAAGGGGAACCGTGTGGGTGCGCATGCGCTGGGCGCAAATGTCTGGGGGGCAAATGTATGGGAATGAGGGACGCGGGCAGAGCTGCCTGTCGCCCTGTGCGTTGATGGCAGCGGTCGGGGCAAATCGTCAAATGTCGTTTGCGAGGCTGTAGCGCGGGGAACGGGTCGCCCGGCGATGCTGCTGCAGGATGTGCAACAACGATCAATGGGTGTCGTCGTGGCAATGGTGATGTGATGGAGGTTGCGACTGCAAAGAGGCTGTGGTGCGCAACGCAGCCCGTCGTCTATGCGTATTTTCCCGGCACAGCTGTCGCCCGCGTACGTCCTCCTAATCGTACCAGATGATAGGTGGTAGCTCGCCCATGTGAGCTAAGAGGAGCCGGGGAGCGAGCAAGCCCCTGGACTCGGGCCGCGACAGGGAAAGAGCCTCGTCGCTCTCTGCTCAGTACTGTTACCATCACCACATGTGCCGCCGTCTTGTCTGCACCCGCCAGCTGCAGTCCATGCTATGATATAGTGCGTGCCCGAATGCACGTCTGCTGTCGAGTTGACGGCGCCTCCTACCCTCACGCTAGCCCACCCCACATGCCATGTCCCGGCTCTGGCAACGGCTCATATGCCATGGCACCTGCCCCTACTCACCATGTGCTGTTTCCGCCCACCCACTCCACATGGCCATGGGAACGAAGAATAGAGTCGAAACCGCTCTTGCGGGTGCAGGGACGTTGCCGTTGACCTTTTCCCAACAACGCTGAAGAAGACATGGGGAGCCTGGCCAAGGTGGAAAACAGATATCCGGCATGTGCGTGCGATACTCGTCCATTCAACTATCAGTCTTTGTGGAAACTTATTCTCTGGCCGCACAACTGCTCGTGTTCGCTTGAGATACAAAAATGCCCCAAGTGGTGTGTTGAGCGTGGAATTGATTTCGTTGCCAAGTGCGTCAGACTTTTAGTATTGTGCTGAACATGCTGAGTGAGATGGTGCTGCAAAGCTGTGGGAATGGCAACCTCCGAATCTGAAAAAAAGACGCCGTTTTATTTAGAACAATCTCGACTTCTTCATCAGCACTAGCAGTGTCCTCAGGAGCTGTAGATAGCCTGGTACTCTGGTGTTGGCAGGTCCCCAGCGAAAGCTCATGTATTCTGTAAACCACGAAGAGGGCCACGACCTCTCTAGTAGCGAATGGGCGGCCGTCATTAGTGCCGGCAGCTCTGATGTAGATATCGTTGTAGCCATCCAGCAAAAGGGCAAGTATTTGTATCATTACTTAAGCCCGATCACCTGTACATTATACTACTGCAGCCTTCGCCGGTCTTGGATAGGAAAAAGCAATGTAAACATCCGATGCAAGCTTTGCCTGTTCTGAGCACGGCACCAAGTCCGTATTTGCAAGGCAACGAGAAACAAATCAACAATCATGTTCGCTCGGTTGAAAGGATGGTTCCGACAAAACTCTCCCTCCAGTTATCGCCGCCCAGCACCAGCATCGGGATGTATTGACGCCCTGATCACTCAAGACGCAGACTTTTCTTTCACAGAGACTGCCGGGTCTCGTACACCAAGTGGGTTTGTTGACGATCGATCTCGGAAGCGGGCATGACGTGGATGTAATGATGTAGTACGCCACGGCCTTCGACAGGTCCTGGTTTACCCCGCTTCCCCTTTATTGCCCGCAGCACCGACATGGGCGACATCTGGGGTCGTCCGGAGAATGGGGTTACTTCTTACCTTAGCGCAGGCGTGCCCAATCTCCAAATGCTCCTTCTCTTTCTGTGGGCCTCGTCGACCTCTTTCTTGGCTACGGCTCGTTACCGCTAGCTGAGCAATGGGCAGGATACACTTTGGAGGTTATTACGAAATGCCAAGCCTGGAACTTATTTCGCTTCACGCCGGCATAACAGTATTGCTATGGGCAAAACGCAGAGCTACACGTTTTCTCAATGCATGGCATGGCAACGGCCGTGGGGGTCGTTTTTGAAGAGTGGTGGGATTGATGGCTGGGCTAGATTGTGTAACCTGGCCACCACTTACTTGGCTTGGTATTTTTTCCAAAGTGGATGCCGAGTCAGCATTACGACGAATGCGACATCAAGCATCGAGACGAGCCCATGATTGAGTTTCTGATAGCCATGGATTCCAAGAACGAGAATTTGACGGAACAGACAAGACCAAAATCACATCGCTGGGCTATCTGGACGAGCACGGACGCGGCGTATAGCCAGTCTGTCTGCAGTGACGGATGGACAATGGGCTTGGCAGGTGAAGGCTCAGCGACGGCCACCTATTCCGGAGTAGGGAGTAGCCAAGGCAGGGAGATGTTGGCTAAGACAATGGCTTTTTGCAGTGTGCGGTGTGGTGTTTGGCATTTGCTGTGGTGCTTGATATGGGCTGGCACCTGGACCAGAGTAGCCATGTCCGGCTTGTGCAATGTGTGGCAGGCAGGCAGGCAGGCTGTCAGGCTGACGAATGAGGGGTCACCTGAGGGTGTTTATACTACGCAGTCTCTGGATGATAGGCGTACGCTGCTGCTGCTCGTTGCTCGGTTTCGCCGCAGTCAAGGCAGTCTTCTCGAATGCGCCTAGCGGCTGGGTCCGGGAGCTAGAACGTTCGAAACAGTGCCCTACCTACGGCCATGCAGATAACAGGTCCCAGGTCGACACTGACCCATGCACTTGCAGAGCCACGGAGACACCGGTTATGTGTGCAAGAAAAAAAAAGAGGTGTTGTGCTTGGCGCCCACGATGGTGCTTTGCAGTGCCGTGCTACTGTACTACGTACGCAGCATGTATGCATCTACCTCCCTATGTACAGCGCCACACGGGCCGTGATAACAACGCTGGCAGAGTTTTGCGCAGGCGTGTACTGCGTGTGTACCATGGCAGCGCACTGTTCACATGGGGCAAGTGAGCACGCAACGGCGGGCTGACTTGGATGTCGTCTTGTCGTGGGCGTGTGGCGATACCACCAACGGGTGGCTTCAGCAGCGCTAGCCCGAGTCAATGGCCAGCGCCGGCCGCTGAGCGCCAGCTTTCTGACATGCAGACAAGGTTGCCGTTCACGCACGACCGGCGTGCTTAACGCGGGGCAACATGGTCGCAACGGACCTTCACTGCCAGCTGTGCAACCCTGCCCGCCCAGGCCAGCGGGCTCCCAGTCCGCCGTATCGCTCGTCTGAATCGGTGCTGGACAGTCGGTCCGCCTGGCTGGGCTGGGGAAGCCTGGCGACGTGCAGTCGGGGCGCCGTCGTGGACAAATACCTCAACACCAGCCTGTCAGCGAATTAAGGATAGCCGGGAAACTTGGCTCGCTCTTGCCAAGCCCTCTGCCAAGCCCCCTCCGACAGGGCCTGTCCCACCACCCCATCCTCCATCGAGAAGGAGATGTCGGCAAACAAGCCTGGCGCACCACCACAACGCCCTCAGCCGAGCGGCGCGCAGTCCTGCTCACGGCCGGGCATTGGGCGTGCGGGCACCGCCCTCCCCCACCACTCCACCAAAGCGGACGCTTGGCCGCCATGGGGTTGCTCGTATGCTGCAATCACGCTTCGCCGCCAGCTTGTTATCAGTAGTCCCGTGGGTCGACTATTTGCTCCTCTCCGCCTTGTCGGTCTTATCACAGTCGGCTAATAACCACTATCTCTTGGGCCGCTCAGAGCCTTCACGCTGCCCGTCGCGCTTAGGTACAGCGTCTATTTGAAGGCGGCCAGCCCGCCCTTTCACTGACCCGTCAGCTGTGCCTTGGAGCTTCACTCCTTCAAGTTTGTGCTCTGATAACCCCGGTGCGGCCCTCCGCCACCACTTGTGCGATACAGAAGACTCCCATTCTGCTATCCACATCGCCATCGCTTGCTCAACATGGCCATAACAAACCGCAAGACAAACTCCTCCGACGGGGGCTCGCGAAGCCCAGACATTGAGTATGGCGGCAAGTCCGAGTACCAGACCGGTGATGTCCACGTTGACGCCGATGGCGTTGCCGTTCACGACGACAACAGCCACCTGCACCGCGGTCTCAAGTCGCGACACATCACTATGATTGCCATTGGTGGTGCCATCGGAACCGGTCTCATCATTGGTACCGGAAAGGCTTTGGCCCAGTCTGGGTATGTTGGGCAAATCCCACCCTTGGCCTACAGCTAACAAGCCCAGTCCCGCCTCGATCCTCATTGCTTACACTCTCGTCGGTCTCATCGTCTACGTCGTCATGACAGCTCTTGGCGAAATGGCCGCTTGGATTCCCCACGCTTCTGGTTTCGCCGGTTACGCCACTCGTTTCTGTGATCCTGCTCTCGGTTTTGCTCTCGGGTAAGCATTTCCTCCAAGCCGTTTTGTTTTTTGTCACATCACTAACATTACACAGTTGGTGCTATTTTGCCAAATACGTCATCACTACGCCCAACCAGTTGACCGCTTCTGCTCTAATTATCCAAGAATGGAAGTCCCGAGACGAGGTCAATCCTGGTGTTTGGATCGCCGTCTTCCTCTTCGCCATTTGCGCCATCAACTACTTTGGTATCAAGTTCTTTGGTGAACTTGAGTTCTGGCTTAGTTCCATCAAAGTCATTACCATTGTGGGTGTCATTCTCCTCTCGTTCTTGTTGGCCGTCGGCGCCGGCCCTGGCGGTGCAACTGGCTTCAAGTACTACAAGAATCCAGGTGCCTTCAAACCGTACATCGCTTCCGGAAGCGAAGGCAAATTTTATGGCTTCTGGAGCTCTTTGGTCAACGCCGTCTTCGCCTACCTCGGAACTGAGCTCATCGGTGTCACGGTTGGCGAGGCCCAGAACCCTCGCAAGACTATCCCGCGCGCCATCAAGCTGACCTTTTACCGGATTCTCTTCTTCTACTGTCTGTCCATTTTCTTCCTGGGCATGATTGTACCATACAACTCTCCTGAGCTTGCATTCGCCAACAAGGCCACCACTGGTGCTTCGGCCTCACCCTTTGTTGTTGCCATCAAGATCGCCAAGATTCCCCATCTTCCTACCATTGTCAACGCCTGCATCTTGCTCTTCACCTTTAGCGCTTCCAACTCGGATCTGTACATTGCTTCGCGTACCATCTACGGACTTGCCGTTGAGGGCCATGCCCCTAAGATCTTCCTCTGGACCGACAAGCGAGGTGTTCCTGTCCCTGCGTTGGCTGTTTCGGCACTCCTCTGCTGCACTGCCTTTATGAACGTTGCAGACGACTCCAAGACGGTTTTCGGCTACTTTGTCAATTTGACTACAATCTTTGGTCTTTTGTCCTGGATCTCGCTTTTGGTATCGCATATCTGGTTCGTGCGCGCACGCAACGCCCAGGGCATTACCAAGGCCCAGATGGCTTACACTGCCCCCTTTGGTCTTATCGGCTCCTACGTTGCCCTCTTCTTCTGCATCTTGATCGCCTTGACCAAGAACTTCTCCGTCTTCACCAGGAGCTCCACTTATGGTTCATTTGATTACAAGAACTTCATCACCGGATACCTTGTGAGTCTTTTCCATGCCCATGTAAAGCTGTATTTTACTAATATGATTTCATAGGGTATTCCAATCTACCTGATCTGTATCTTCGGCTACAAGTTCATCATGAAGTCCAAGATGGTTCGCCCTCACGAAGCCGATTTCTACAGCGGCAAAGCCGAGATCGACCGCGAGGAAGAGGAATTCCTGGCTCATGCCGCAGCGAAGAAGGCATCAGGCGGCCGTGATGGCAGCTGGTTCTACAAGACGTTCGTTTCTTGGTTGCTGTAGATGGCATTTGAGAGCGATGTTTTCAAGCCTTGTATCCACACGCTTATGTCCTTTATGCTACATATCAGAACTAGACACGCTCTGAATGATTTATATGAAAAAAAAAGTTCCATAGTTAATAGACTCATAAAGTTGAGCAAACTCGCTGGTCTGAAAAAAAACTTTTACTTTATCTTAATTCTGCAAATGATTATTGTTACGCCCAAAAAGTCATTCCGCTAGATGCACGTGGGGGAGGGGTTGGGGAGGTTCCCAATCCTCACTTTTCTGCATCGTGCAAAGATTTTCGATGTAATCTGAAAATCCCCCCACCCCCACCCCAAAAAATGGCATCAGCGAAAAAAAAACACTAATCAATACATGCCCTAAATCATGTTACAAAACCCAAATTACGCAAGAAAACTAATCACATACGTGTGTCCCATGTCAGTTTGCCAAGCCCCGCCGCCTCCCGCCCCGCACCCACCAAAACTCCTTCCCCGCGCGCAACACGACCAGACTACCACTTCAGCTGGCGTCACAATAAGCTCACGCCCCAAGCCTCTGCGCCGACCAACATTGGCATTTTCTTAAGCGTGCACAAGCAACAAAAGATGATAACGGGCGTGGCTGTCCTTAGGGGTGGGGGAAATCCTGCGTCCATTTGCCGTGTTTGCCGGGTCGGACAAGACGGGTAGGACGGCAGGTTGTGGGGTGGAAAGCGAGAAAGGGTGGAGCGGTTGGGATTGGCTGGTGCATGTATAGAGTATACAGTGTACTTTACACAAGGGTAAGATGATGACAGTAACTGTGTGATAGTAAGTAGGGAGAGGAAGGGGGGGGGGGGGCGCTTTTTTTGTTATACTTTTTTTAGGGGTTGAAATGCGAAAGGAGGTTGCTTCACCGGTATGATTGTGGTTTCCGCGAGGCGGACTTTGGGGTTTGGGCTGGTTTGCCTGGTTTGCCTGGTTTGCCTTGCGAGGCGGGCGTATAAGGCTGACTTTTTTTCCAACTTGCGTGTTGTATTTGCCTTGGGTATGCGTGCGTCAGAGCTGAATTTTTTTTAGGGCGGCGCGAGATACTTGGGGTGGAATGTAGTCATGTGGGCTTTTGTAGAGTTTGGATGCGTGATGTGATGGTGGTAGAGGACTATGGTGGTCGTCGTTGTGGCTGTGGTGGTGATTGTGATGGTACTACGGGGTAGGGCCTAGAGTGCGGCTTGTCGGCGTGCTCCGAGTCGATGAAGAACTAGGCCTTACCTACAGTGTTGTCTTTTACTCGGAAGAGGATGCGATGGGCTTTCCTACCGCTTTCTGGCGTTTCCCTTTTCGGACCATATAGTTGTGACAAGGGCAATCTACCTTCCCGTCTAGCATACTCCGTCCCTTGTACTGTCAGAGTACAGCAGATAGATTCATAAGCTTTCACAATTTCTTTACATCTACTGTTTGGCCTTTTGCCTAGACTCGACATGTCAGATACAACCTCTGTTGCAAGGCGGCGTGGCCACGGACAGAATTTCACCAGAACAGGACCGACCTCCGTTAATAGCATCTTACCGCACCACTTCCATTCAGTATGGCGAGGTTACATGGCTTTTGATTCATCTTGGCTCGCTCAGCATCTTCGTCTTGCTTCACGATGTTCGCTGGTGTTGGACTGATACTCGGACACGATAGCATCGGCATCGTCAATCGTCCTTCTATGAGTCATGCAGTATAGTAGCCCTGATTTCTCGTAATGAAGCGATGTTTATTATTCCCACCCACAGGACTAGAGGGGACGACTGGGGTTACACATAAGAAAAAGAAGCTTACACAAGGGAAACGGGCACGTTCGGACGTGCCCTTTGCTGCCCTTTTTGTGGGGCAAAACAAGATGGCATTTTAGGCTTTGGGTAAGGCAATTCGGGCTTATTCAAATGGTCTTTGCTTCACAATTTTTCCTTTTGCCATTGTGGTACAAGAGACGGGGTATATAACTTTGGTGGTGGGATGGTTGGTTGGCTTTGATATCTTTGCAGTTGCTTGTATCATCGTTTACATCCTCGAAATTGAAACTCCGATTCTACTATCATAATTTTGGAAACCGCTCATATTTTCATTTGGAAGGGTGTACTTGTCTCTTTACTCTGGGGGACGGCGGTACAATTTACGAATATCGAATTCCCAAGCACCTCGGCCGCAACACTTCGTACAACAAGATACCAAAGCAAATTTACTCCTCACACAATTTGACAACTCGACTTGAATCAATCTTGAATCATGGTATCTTCATCCAAGAGTCGTTTGGATCACTACTACAGCAGTAGCACACGTGCACTCCTACCTCCTCAGTGTATCACCACCATCACCACCTCTTCCGCGGCTCCAGTTACTCGCAAGTCCTCTCGAAATGGTCCAATGGCTATCGTCCCTTACTCTGGTACGGCAAGCGATATGTGGGTGTGCAATGAGTGCGGGTCTGAGAACAACAATTGGGTTGAGCGATGTCCGATTTGTGGCGAGGGATGGAGACCCTAAAAACAAAGAGAGGGAGAGGGGCCTCTCTACCTCTTTACCATTATCACTACGACAGAGATTGGTTGGACAGAGTTGCGCAGTTCTGGTTTGGGAATTCCGAGGTGATGAAACGTACCATTGGAGGTCACAATTTGACTTTTACTTTCTACTGTTCACTGCGATTTCAATTGGTTCTTTTGTCTTTGGAAGCTGCTTCCTTTTCTGGCAATGTCATTCGTTATCTTCTTCTATTTTATCATTATATCTTAGATTAGACTAGACTAGACTGGGCGTTTGTTACACATCTTCTTTTCAGCTATCAACACAAATCTTGTTTTTCGGCCTGACCCTGCTATTCGCCATTGATTCTGAGAGGTTTTTATCATGAACGATGCAATAAGATGTCTCCATATAATCTGAGGCCTCGGTGCTTGCTGTAGTTGTGGGTTGCTAACGCAACAACGCCGATAGAACATGTTCTTCCACCTTGGATTGATTGTGATCAGACCGTGGAATTGGTCATAATTATCAAGGAAGATAAAGAGTGCCATAAGGCGGGCTGTCCAGATGGGTGTGGCCAATCTCCATGGCGTTGTGTTTTCTTTTGCTGTTCCTTGACAGTTCTTACTGACTTATGCTGGCAACGACATTCGACGTAAACCCGTAGACGATTTACAATGCTGAATTGGGCATATTTCCGACTGAAGTTTGAGTAACCACGTCCAGCGTTACCTGTAATTCGGGTGTCATTAGCGTTGCACTTGTAATCGATCTGAATGTCACAACGTACACACTGGCGTGACACCAAATCCAAGAGTTTCGCCATGGATCCTTCTTACACGTCACAAATTTAGACGTGCAGTGTAACCTGATCTGGCCAACTTCAATAGTCCTGTATGCCCGTTTCGCCAGTCAAGACTTTCTCCTTCCCTTCTCCGTCAGAGTCAAAATCACTTTCCATACTCTCAAAATATGCGTCCTGTAAGTCTCTTTCCTGCTCGGGGTCATCGTATTTGGGATTGCCATCCACGAGTTTTGCATAGTCAAAGTCGTCGTCCCCGCCTCTTAGGAAGCGCTGTGTCATCTCGTCTATCCACCACGCCTTGCCCTCCTCCTTGCTCATCGGTATATCGTCCTTGTCCTCTTCTATTATCTCGCCCTGTGGCCCCCGAGTATATGTAAAAAGCGAATTGGGGTCTGGTTGCGACAGCGCATCCTTCTTCGCCTCGGCACGCCACAGGTCTGTCGCCATCTGACCAGAGAAACCCTTCTTCCGGCCTTCGGCTTCGCGTTCAGATGCGGTTTGGAAGCGACGGATCAGGCGATCGTAGAGTAGAGGGTCGGCGAGCTCGAGAGAAGAGTCGGTAAAGTACTCAGGATGTACTTCGAGATAGCGTTTGCGCCTGTTCTTGGCCTGGAGTCGCTGCGCCCGCTCGTCCTGTTGCTGTCGCATCTGGTCGCGGAGAAGAGAGTAGTCTATGGTATCCTCCATGGCGACATCTTCATTCGGGTTGGTGGGTGTGATGTCGTCGGCGTGGGGATTGTTGTGCGAGTCTGCGGGGTGCTTCGCAGCTTCGGGCGCATTCGCAGGTCGTAGAGTAAGAGGCGCCATTGTGGGCGGTGCAGTCAGATATGGCATACTACAGTGTCAAAACCCGGCGAATGTCTTTCTTCTGTAATCCAGCATGATGCATGGAGAGTGAAGTGGGCGCGGGCGCAAACCGTCCCGCCATGCTTGGTAATGACGCCACAAACGCGCGCCACAGGAAACAGGGTCCGCAGGGTCCGTCTAGTCGAAACGCGCCCAGTCGAAACAAGACCGCCTTAATGATCGACCGTTTCATCAGGCCCGAAGCCAGGAACAGCTGGCCTCCTTGGTTATTAACTTCAACGTCTTCCTAGCCCTTATTCTTCCTCATTCCCTTCTTTGACCCTTGTGCGTCGTCATAGTTGCCCTTATTTTCTTGTTGTTCTCTGACTAGATTCGCTGTGCGGATATACGGTCCGTCTATAGTGGGAAAAGAGCTTGGAACTCCTGCCTCATTTACGCGATATCTGGTCTTTTTCGACTGTACATATCTTTTCATTTCGTGGTCATAACTCATCACCTTTCTTTCCTTGAGATCGTGTCCTACGCAAAGAAGACGTTTTCACACCTATCGCCATGTCTTCGAAACAAAAGACACAGAAAAAGCCAAAGCCTGCAAACAAGGCAGCGCCACAAACACAGAGGGCCCCAGCATCAACAATCCTTCTAAACGCAGGCCGAGCAGCAGCACTTCTCCTCATCGCCGGATTTGCTTCTCCGGTCTCTCAGCTGAATCTGTCGCCCGTCTATGGATCCATTCCTGCATCGCTGCATCACCAGCGGACCATGACCATTGTTGCTGTGGCAGCTTTGTTGGTCCGACGAGGACTCAAGAGCTATGTATCCGCAAATGTGTCCCAATACATCGCTGTGGTTGCGTACTGGACTCCTGTCATACAGTTTCTCCTCTTCCCATACAGTGAAAAGATGGGAATTGAGTATGGGCCCATGGCCATTGAGTTGTTGACATACTTTCCGTTGCTTTTCTTGTCAATCTTCGCTGCTGCCGATCTACTCGAATGCATCGATGTCAGCGGCTTGAACCCCTCTCCATTGAAGGAGATTGTTATTCCTACTGCTTCGTACTTTGCGGTTTCCACCACAGCCAAGATAAGCAGCGCTCTCATCCCAAGCTTCATTGGCACATCGGTCTACTTCACTCGCATTGGCTTCCAGATGTTGCTCGCATCCGCATCTGCCTTCTTCAGTCCCTCACGCGTCATTCTACTTGCGTTCCCTGCTATCTTGCATACGCTTTGGACCAACCCACACCATCCGTCCATTCACGGACTTCAATTGGCCAACTCGACTCTCCAAGCAACGCAAAACTATACCCTGCTTGCTCGACAGGAATCAGTCACAGGCTACGTCTCAGTGGTTGAAAGCCAATCTGAAAGCGCCTTCCGTCTCCTTCGATGCGACCACTCCCTTCTAGGTGGCGAATGGCTCGTTACCCCAGAAGCATATGCCAAAGGCCAGCGACAGCGCGAGTCCATCTTCGCCGTCTTCGTTTTGCTCGAAGCTGTCCGACTTATCGAACCCCCCGTCGCATCTATCCCAGCTGTAGATGACAGCAAGAAATCCGCCCTGGTCATTGGCCTCGGAATCGGTACTGCGCCCAACGCCCTAATTGCTCACGGTCTCAACACCACTATCGTTGAACTCGACCCCGTAGTCCACTACTACGCCACTAAGTACTTCAACCTCAGCCCCAACCACAACGCCGTCATTGCCGACGCCACCTCCTACGTAGCCGAGAAGTCCGTCTCTGCTCCCGGAAGCTACGACTACATCATTCACGACGTCTTCACCGGCGGCGCGGAACCCGTGTACCTCTTCACCACCGAGTTTATGCAAGGACTATACAACCTCCTCAAGGACGACGGCTTCGCAGCCATCAACTACGCCGGTGACCTCACTCTCGGAAGCACGCGCCTGGTCCTCAACACTATCCACGCCATCTTCCCCGCCTGCCGCATCTTCCGTGATTCTCCCTCATCCGAGGAGCACAAGGATGGCGACGCTGATTTCATCAACATGGTCATCTTTTGCGTCAAGAACGACCATGGTCTCGGAAAAGGAGGAATTCGTTTCCGCAACGCGAAGCCTGCTGATTACCTGGGTAGCATTGCGCGTCGCAACTTTTTGCAACCGCAGGAGAATCTCGAGGTTAAATACGAGTATGTGCCCAAGGAGGATGGGGGTAAGGTTATGGGAAATGCGGATGTAGGTGAGTTGGAGAAGTTTCACAGGGATGGCGCGGTTAGTCATTGGAAGATTATGAGGACTGTGCTTCCTTCTGGTGTTTGGGAGATGTGGTAGGCGAAGTTTGGGTTGCATGGTTTCTTTGCGAGAGGAAAATGGAGATGTTAGAGTGGGAGAGATGAGAAAGTTAGGAGAAATTACAGAGATTCTGCCGTATACAGTTGCATAGAAGATGTTGTTGTTTACTAGAAATATCGTATCTTTTTTAGTCACATACCGTGCAGCTTCGATAGAGTAAACGTTTGTCTTCTTTGTTTCTTGTCAAATTCCCTCCATATCTAATCCGAAAATCGCTCCAGCAACGCTGACTAATAACTGATTCACTCAAGAGAAGACACACGTTTCTGGGCATCGATAAAGATGACTTGATGTAGCGATTTCTCGTTGAAACGGCTGAACCTGAGATGCAAAGCACGACGCTTGAGTTTTTCAACGTGCTGGATGTCCCTATCACCTTTTTCCAAACTTCAAAGCCACCCTCGAAATCCGACGTGCATACAATTGGCGATAAGCAATTCTAGCGTTGATTGAATAAGCAACTCATTACTCATAATAAAGAAGATGCCAATGATAGGGCATGCCTATTCCGAGTTCACCATAGGGCATTCATACTTCATCTTCGTCCAGCGAGGCTCAGACGATGTACTGCCATTGTCACATGATGAGTGGCACTGACTGAGTTTGTTAAAATCCAGATGAAACTTACCGTACTGTTGTTTGAATAGTTCAACAAGAGGGCAACTGCAGAACATACGTTCTGTCTTGCGCTTTTTTTTAAAAAAAAAAGTCTCTTGTTCAACAGGACAGCAGTCACTTTAGCAATTTTCATGATCAGAACCGCTAAATGGAGATGCTGATGGTGGCTTCACGAAGCTGATAACATGAAAGACATTACAGGACTTGATTATTTTAGATTTCGTATGGCATATATTTGTCCGGTCAGCGTATTTCATACAGTAGGACGTATTCTGTGAATTAAATCCGAACTTGGTAACAATATAAGGTACTCAAACAGATGGATGTAAAAGCTCTGCAGAAGCCTGAAGCATTGGAAAGTCAGAAAGCTCTTCATTCGACCATATTTGTCGAGACTGAGATACTGCATCAAAACAACAGACTGTAATCTAGAGCTCCAAATACTACACATCTGATTCATCCCACTACATCGTCATCTCCTGTCCATCTCTCTCCACATCGCAAATACAGCGCCACTATTACGCGTTTCTCTCTACCCTCACCCGCCAAGCCCACATCATCAATTTTATTCCCCTACTACATAAGTATATCACAGTAGCATAACCATCAGCATCGCTATAAAGTATTATACAGTGCATAAGGCCTGGTGGTGGTAGAGTGTGCAGTCTCACAATGAGAAAATGAATGGGAAAGTAAACGAAGTGTACGTTCAGTTACCCTGAGACCATTTGAGATTGTATCTCATGGTACGACCGAGGTACTAATTCAAGTACATTATGAGCTTTTAGATAAAGTAGTACTCGGTATCCGAGGTACTCATCATATACGTATGGGAACCATGTTAATAATCTTACAGGTAAAGATACCGGCATCAAAGCCGACTGACTTGCTCTATTGACCGCATATCCTTGAGAAAGACAAAAGAATCCCCCCTGGATTAGATATTCATATGACGATCTACAACGTAAGAATATGCGGTGACACCGATACCCAGCTCAACTAGCTGCCTGCGGGGAGATTATGTGGAGATGGCAGATCAAACCAGCCGATCAATATACGGAAAGACTAGTAAGTCAAGCTGAAAGCGTTAAACATCCCTAGCCACATCAACCGGTGACATGTCTTCCCTCCAACTAACCCAAACACGACAACTCCCGAGCAATCACCACACCTCTTTATTTCCGAGGCCGAAAAACACACTTCCCCCAATCCCCATCCACACGCACACCCCCGCGGCCCTAACCGAGCCATGCTTGCCCCAACATCGGTCCTACCAACGCTGGTTGCAAACCAGGAAAATACCTCTTTGTTCTTCTCCTCCCTTAAACGCCCTGGAGTAATCTTGATCGGTGAAAGTACGTAGTCAATAACTAATCAGAACCCCACGGGAACACTATCACGCTTTGTACAACGCGGCCGTAGGGCCCCCCCCCCCCCCCCAGCTAGCGACTCGCCTTTCTCTTTCCCGTGTGGCGCATGCACATGCAACGCACGCACCCTTCCCCCCCAATCATCAGCACAGCAACAACAACGACGGGTCCTACGGGATTACCGCTTTTAGCCACTAGAAAACGGAACGCAAAAGAAAAGAAAACAAACAACGCTAGGTTCACCTTTACATCACCTCACCTTACCCTCCTCGCGTCCACGGCGCAAGACGGAAAACAAGATAACATGAGCTGATACCATGTCCAACCTATACGTCCATTACGTATTCCGGTGAAGAAGCCCCTCCCCCCTCCCCATACACCCCCCCTTCTCCATTCACAATCTCATGTTCCATTCAAACCACACACACATTGCCCGCGTATAATCTGCCTAACCCCCCTCCCCTTGCAAGCCCTTCAAAACACATGTCTTCACCGGACGCCGCGACCTTCAAATGCCTCGGGAGGCCATATCACATGCCCAGGCTACTTTACCCTCACAACTCCCAAAGCCAATCACAATCCAAGCCTACGTAGCTCCGCAACGCACATGCCAAACACACACACACACACACAAGACTAACTAGCCGCCAAAACTGACCGGGTGTGCGTATATATAGATATATATATGTGTGTGTATAAAGTAGGCATAGCACATGTAGGCGGATTTTAAAAAGTGGGAACAAAAAAAAAGAACAAAGAAAGAGAATACAAGCCTTTTAGTTGAGACGGCTTGATCGCGATAAGCGCTGGCTGGGCGGAATCTTGATTTTCTAGTTGGGACCCGTTGCTGCTAGACCATTGGGCCCAAATTGGATTGGACTGGGTATGTGGCACATGCGATGCAGGGGGTGTGGTCAGTGAGAGATTTTTGTTGCCATGTCAATGCGTGAAAGTGGTTTTAAGCACCTAATTACTACATACTTGTGCACAGAGAGAGAGAGAAAGAGAGAGAGAGAGCGGGGAAGGGGAAGGGGAAAAGGCGGCGTGTTTGATTGGCGGTTGTGGTGGCGATGGTGGCTGGCTAGGGTTGTTAACGGTATGCCGTATGATGTTGATTGTTTCTGGTTGGAGAGAGAGAGAGATAGGGAGGGAAAGGTGAGAAATGTGTGATTGGAGATGCATTTCTGGACTGTCCGGGGGGGGGGACACGTGTAATTGTGCGGGATTTACTGGGAGGGATGCGTTGCTTTGTGCCGTTTTGCTTTGAGGGTTAGGGATGGATGGAGCGTGCACTGCGTTTGCATGTTGCATGTAAAATGTATGAGGGGAAAAAAGCAAAAAGACGGGCTGACGGTATGGGATACTGCAGTGAGAGAGGAATCGTGGCATGTGGGGAAGACGATGTGCCCCGTTTGAGGGCCGCGCCGCGGGGGGGTCCCAGGAATAAGGTTTGCAACGTTATACCGTACATTTTTCTTTTCCCATGCTTCTTTGGTTGCGTTGCTTTTTGTGGCTTTTGCCGTGTTTGCGGGTAATCATGACAGCTAAAATGTGTGTACTTACGAATTCGGTGAGGCAATTTGTGCATTGGTATCTTCGTTTAAGCTGACACTTGTGTACTATTGCTCCTTGGTACGCGAACACACGAATCATTTGCGTGGACATGACTGGTACGGCTCTTTCCGGCATCCTTCTCTCCTCGGTGTACTCTAGTTAGCGACAAGATGAGAGCACGCGACGCATCAGGAAAGAGAAAGACAGAAAAATGACAAGATTGCGCAATGGACGTCGTGCTGCGCCTCGAGGCGAGTGCGGGAGGCGGGAATCGGAAAGTCGGGCAGCGCGTGTTTTGACCGCTATTTTCCTCTTGTTTTCCGCCTGTTGCTCGACCTGCAGGCCGGACAAGTCGCGTGATGTGACCAAAACGGTGTGCATTGGGATTTGCATTGGCCGGTGGAACAGAACACATGAGTAGGAAAAAAAAGTTGGCTTGTGAGGCTTGCCAGGTTACTTTTTGCTAGGTACCCCGCTGACGTTGATAAGCGTCAGAGGCGCTAACAAGGCGATATGCAGGGTGTCTTCGGCTTTGCTGGATTAACATATCCGATTTGCTGACTGTGCTGACTGGGTGTTGATGCTGCACGAGTGTGTAGTACATTTGCATGGTGTGCGATAGGTACCGCGTCGGTTGGTCGCATATTCCGCTTGGGGAACACGAGCAGCATCTCGCTCAAGCCTGCCACTTACTCTCAAGTGACGTCGCCAGCGGATTGACCTTGAACTAATTCTCTTCCGCCCCTCCTCACGCCCCGCTTTTCGAATTGCCCAAGAAACGAAAGACGCTGCGGAAAGAAAAGAAAAAACCCGCCTCCAGGCGCGACACGCGGCCCTATGCCTTGCCAATATTCTGGCCGCAGCCTACCATTGCACCCACGTTGTCACCACCAGACATCCGCTTTGCTCGTCAGATGGGCTGCCATGCCAACCCACAAGCAGCTCCATTTTGTTAGGTGGAGATCCTCCACTTCTGCAATGAAATGCAGTCCCCCCCCCATGCTTGAGCGGGCACAAATCTGGATCTCGCCCAATGATTGGGCCAGACAACCCTGGACCCAGCGATACAGGGTGTTGACTCTAGCTACCGGAGATGGATGCGCCTAGTGAAAAATTGCCAAGCTGGTACCGCAGCCAGTTGCAGATGTTGACAAGGCTGGTGTTGGCTGGGCAGACACCTCGCTCCTTGGACTTGTACACGCTCCTGCCCTTTCAAGTCACGCCACCTGTTACTTCTGCCCGTCCAACTCTCACGACATGTGTCCCAATCCTGCTCCCATGCTTGCTGAGACGACACAAACAATCAATTGTCCTGCGCCAACGCTTGAGCTGCAACCCCTCGTGCGGCTCGGCAACATGTCGGACAAAAAGGCCAACCCCCCCGGAAATTTATGCCCCATAGGTATTGACGGAGCTAGAGTCGTCGGATGCTTGCAATGTGTCAAGGTAACGTCGTCAGAGCTGCGGCGGCGATTGAGCGGAAGATCACCAGGGGCTGCCTGTTAGACGCTTGCGCCATGCCGCCGAATCAAGCGCGCTGATCTTCAATCCTGGGTCCATCGGCACTTTTCTGTAGGGCCACCAATTGCAACTTTGGTTCACGGCACACGGGTACGATAAGCAACGTGCAACCGGTGACAATCGGAGCAGGAGCCATGGGAACCAAAGTTTGCAGGGGGAGCTTGGCATCGTGGCATTCGCTATCTGCTCGGTGCATGCTACTACTACTACTCGTACTCGAAAAGAAGAATGCTGCGCATCAAACGCGCAAAGATAACAGACTGCGAAATGGTACCCCGCCATGCTTGCGCCAATACAATGCGATAATTATGGTATAATAGTGAGCAATATACAGGGGGGGAACATGGTCATCGTTCGCCCATGTCAAAACGGTGGGTAAATGCCTTCCCAACCTTATTCTCAGGCTTGGGAGGTACATGGTGATGCAGATACTTCTTAGGCGCAGCCGTTCTCGCGCTCGACGCCTTGGAGGCATCAAAAGTAATCTTGGGCTCCTCGTACGATTCCGGACAGCAACAGCCAATGTTCTTGATGCAAGTCGTCTTGAGCACATCGCGGATCGTGATGCGCTGCGACGGAATGGGATGTAGCATCTTCAGCATCAAACGTTTGATCGACGGGGGCTCGATGAGACTGAATAGCTTGCCGCACTTGGGGTGGCCGTCAGGACCATCGAAGATTTGTCCGTCGGGATGGGCTTGCAGCCACTGGTCCCAACCCTTTTTGAATCGAGCGTAGTACTCGAACTCTGGCTTGGCAGCCTGCCATGGACAGCCACCAAATGTCATGGTCAAGTAGACAATGGCAGTTGACCATATATCCAGCGGTCGGGGGTCGTAACTGTGGTCCTTTTGTAGCACTTCGGGAGCAATATACGGTAGACTGCCGCAGATGCCAGGGGCTGAAAGACGAATGTGTCGCATATTTTTGCCGCATTCTCCGCCAGAAGCGCGCAGGCCAGGATGCTCGCCGCTGAAGACTTCGGCAACGCCAAAATCCGAGATTTTCAGATGGCCTTCCTTGCTGAGAAGCAGGTTTTCCAGCTTGATGTCTCGATGGGCTATGCCGTGGCTGTGCAGGTAGTCGACGCCGCGGAGAAGTTGCTTGAAGAAGCACAGCCGGTCATCGCGACTATAGTAGCCTTCAGGCCCGCCGGCAAAGAGCTTACGCTCTACGAGCGAGTAGATCTCGCCATATGTGCAAAACTCCATGACGTGATTCCAGCGGCCGCGGTTGGTGCATAGGCGAACGGTTTCGACAATGTTGGGGTGATGCAGACTCTTTGCGATGCTGTACTCGGACTTGATCTTGAGCACGTAGTCTTCTTCGGTCTCTTCCTTGTCCCTTTCTCGGAATTCCTTGACTGCAACCAAATCCTCTTCCCTGGTAATGCCTCCTCTTCGCGCCATGATTCGAACTTCAGACGTTGCGCCCTTGCCCAGTATCCTTCCTCTTTTCCCCGGCATCAGGCTCGAGCTCTTGAATTCCTTGTCTAGTTCACACCAATCTATGATGAAGTCATCGGGCAGGTTGATGCTGAGGCGCCGTGCCTTCATGCCTACGCCCTGGGCGGCAGGCTTGGAGAAGGTGGCCAGCATACCAGCAGTAGGCTTTTCGGTACTCTGGCCAGTTCGTGGCACTTGTTCTGTGCTGGCCGACCGCCTCCGCAGGAAACCAGTCTTTTTGGTCGTGGTAACGCTTCCACTTGCAGCCCAGGTGATGCCGGGCCTGGGCCTGGTCATGTTTCCCAGACCGGTAGAAGATATGGGCTTCTTGCCAAGGTCTGGTCTTTTGTCGGTCGAGGGCCTACTGCTGGTCGAGCCAGACAAGGGCGGAGAACTTGCACGAGAGGACCTATCGGAGCGTCTGGTTAGAGAAAAAGTACTTAGCCTCTTGCTCTGGCGGGGGATGTCGACGGCCGGGGTGGACAACTCGGCCGGGCCATCAATGCCCGTCTTGACAATGTAGGTGTCGGTGTCTGGCTTTGTTTTTGGAGACCTGCCTGGCGTGGAGAGATTCGAGGTTTCTGATTGACTGGCGCCGTCCTTTGATGCGTGGCTTCTGTGCAGTTTGCCCCGGAACAGATTTCCGACACGCTTGCCCAGGCCGCGCCTCTCGGGCGGCGACTCACGCTCAGGCGAGTGGGATGTATGGGCGTCTGGCGGGGGGAGGGCATCTTCATGCGAAGACTTTGATGGGGTGTCGCTGGGCAGCGGGCGTGGGGTGGCAAAGACATCGTCTACCGAGTCATCGTCTGGGAAAGGGTGGTGGAAAGACGGGCCATCGCTGCTATGGCTGGTTGGGGTGAGAGGCTCGGCAGGCTCGCTGGCGGTGCCTGTGCTCGCGTCCTCCTCTTCAATGGCAAAACGGTGCGTCTGGGAGCGTGAATCGCGATGGCGCAGGCGGTCGGAGAGGGTTGGCTCGTCAAAAGAAATGGATAGATGGCGCGGCTGTTCGGCGAGCACGGGCATGGCGGGTGGGGAGAGAGGGTTTGTGCAGGTCCGATTGGCGAGCAAGCGGGCGTGAATGGGTGCAAGAGAGAGGGAAGGGGGGAGGGCTGCAGGGCCTAGTGGTTGTGGTTAGGCTCGCTGGAGGGGACTGGGGCAGTGATAGCAGGAGGCCTCGAGCGAACTGCAGTCGTGCAGGTAGAGGGTGGGCAACAAGAGCGGAGTGTGGTAAAAGTGTTGGGCTCGTGGCAAAGCCATTCACACAGCGTAGAGGAAACAAGCGTGCAAAGGCGCGGGTGGGAGGTTGCCGGGCTGGGGCGCCGGGCAGGGGAGGGGGGGAGGGGACAGGACAAGACAGGACAGGACCGGACAGGAGAGGGAGAGGGAAGTTGAGGTTTGGGAATACGACGATAATTTCCGCCAGATGGCGCAGGCGGTGATGGCCCCTAGAGATGCAGAGAGAGCCGGGGCAGGCAGGGCTTGGGGCTTTGATATGTGCGCACTGCAGGACCCTCGACCCTCGCCGCGCTTGGCTGCCCTCCCCCCACAGCAGGCCAGGGCAGGCCGAGTAGGCGACTGCGTGCGAGGCCATGCTAGGCGGGTAAGTAGCACGCTGGGCTAGGCCGGCCTGGTAAACTCTCTGGCGCCATCCATCCATCCATCCACCCACCCACCCACCGACGCCCGCCCCGCCGCCTCCGCCGCCGCCGAACCCCCACCCCCCAGCTGCACGCCGCATGCACCTCTTGCGACACCCCAGCTGGCGCCCTCGCGCAGCACCCTCGCCGCGGGCCCTCTTGTCGCCGGCCGTGCTGGGTCAGCTGTGGCATCGTCGTCCGGGTGTGCCACGAGACAGGCTCACGACTGACGGCGCCCGCTGTCGGGGCGGCCAGTCGGCATGGCTGGCTGGCAGTGCTGTGTCGCTGGCTGGCAGACAGTAGGGACGCCGCCGGTGCAAAAATGCCGCACGACATGGCACTCTGGACGGCGGCCGCGGCTGGGCTAGGCCGCGGCGGGCGTCAGCAGCCTGGCAGCTTCGCATCGCCGTGCCATGTAGACAGTAGGGACATGCGCACACACCTGGGCAGCGAGCGGGTGTGGACATGGCCGCCTCGAGTCCAAGTAAGTATCCAACGAAGCCGTGTACTCGAGTTAGTCTCGTTACGCACTCATGTATTGGCCTGGCGGGCCAAGGGCCGGTGCTAAGGCCCTACTTGTGCTCAGGCCCCCTGCTTCCGCCCAACCGCCATTCGCTGCCCTCGCGAACCCGTCTCTCCGCCCATCTGAGGGCGCATGCATGGCGGTGCGATACATAGTAGATACATGGCCGTGTACAACGCCAACTGTCTACGTACATGCCACCGACGCGTGGCGTGCTTGCACCCACGGCATGCTGCCCACAGCCTTGTCGTCGGTCTTGTCCAAAAGCTTGCACGGCCCTTGACCTCCCCATACGTACGACGGCGGGCGAGGTATTCAATGCTCGCTCTGATGACCACGCTGGCCACACTACTGTCGTCATGCCCGCCTCCTCAAAATAGCGGGGTCGGCGTCGTCTCCTGCAGCCTGCGCCCGCCTGCAGTCCTGACACGGCTCCCGATGACAAGCATATGCACTGCATCGGCTTTTGCTTTGAAAAGCATTCGTGTCAACACCGCCCCGCCTCTGCCCCCCACGCCTCCAACGAACCCATCCGACATGTCGCGCCTCACTCTCTCTCCGCTTCTCACCTCACTATCTTTTATTGGGTATCCCGCCCTCAGAGCGGTGAGTTTCATACAGACTTGTAGTCAACCGACTGGTTTCCTCATCTCTCGCTTCTCCACCCGCCCGCGCCCGCGCGCACACACACACCCACACACACACACACATACGCTGCACCTGCAGTAGTGCCCTGCTGCTTCTTCTGACCGCAGTCTTTGCATTTGCCTCGCCTGCGAGCCCCGGATTCCTAGCCCATGGGGTTTTGGCGAGATCGACGGGAAATCATCACACCAATTCCTTCGCCTCCACGCACGCTGCCAACATCGGCTACAACTCACTTGACTCCTAACCCGTTTGCGCGCCCTGTACCTAGGCACAGACCCTACAGCCCGCCCACACCGATCCCGATAGAGTAACAATCTAACAAAAACACCGCACGTGGTACAAGCTCCAGTCATTCGCGTAAATCCACTCTGCCCACTGATTTGCACCACTCTGCACCGCTCTCGGCTTGGCAGTTTCCACCAATGTAAACGTAGATTGCTTTTACTGTAGCCCCCTTGGCACGCTGGAGGAACTCGGTTTCCGCGCTTGGCACTCAACAGTTAGCCGCCATTGCTTCTTTCGCCAATCTGGACCACATGGATATCCCAACTATGTGTGTATACCTAACCTCAATCATGACTCACCGGCTTTGTAATTCCCATCAATTTCTCCATGTAGCGCACATCTTTTTTGCCCTCCTCACCACACTCTCGAACCCCGTCAGAGATAAGATGATTGACACCCGCCGTCATAGTCATGTCTCAATCTCCCGCTCCCTATGTCACATCTGCGGCAATGTAACCTAAGAAACTCTAAAAGCTCAACATACCAAAGTACTTGAGCCAAGATGTTACTACCACAACACCACACATACGTACACGCACACACCAAACCACTCGACACAACCCGCCAAGACGCCCTACTTCTTCGTCATCGCGGAACGCGGCCTTGTCACCAACAAGACTCCCATGCCAACAAACTCAAGCTACTAGTCCCCTTCCCTCGTCACACTCTCCATTTCCTTTTTAGGGCCTCTCCCAGTCCCGACCAGCGTACAGCTTGCGCGGAAACAGCCTGCCAAGCTGATCTACTCGTCTTGGCAACGATCCTGTGTCATGGACTTTCCCCTCCTGCTTAGCCGCGAGATCTGCACTTTTCCGCTGCACAACACCTTTGACGGGTGACATCCGCGCCTCGTACTCTGGTCTTGGCTTTTTTTTGTTCTTTCCGCCCATTAACCCATGGCCCAATAGCTTGTTTTGCAGTTCCCGCACACCACTGTAACCCCCCTCCCCTTTCCCCCCACCGACACTGGATAATTGTTTGCCGCGTATGCCTGGGATAGTTTGTGCAACATGTCATTAACCGTTGGTTTTTTTGGTCCTTCTCGCCCGTTGGGAAAGATCAATGGGAGGCAGGCGGTCAGGGGTGTGACTAACCAGTGTCCCCTTATCTTTGTTGCTGTTTCTTCTTTTTTTTTTTCTCAAAGAGACACTAACAAGTGACAAAGACGTGGGGAGCCCAGAATATAGTTTGTAGTTTCCAAATGTCATATACTGAATATCAAGGTGAGTGCGGAGAAAGATGGGGAGTAAAGAAACATACGGATAAAAGGAAAATAAAAGGGAGGAAAGGCATAGCCGTGTTGAATTGCCCAGTAGATTGAGTACGTACGTCGGATACCGATATTCAACCATGTGCTACATCATGCATATCACTTGCGTGCTCAATGTTACAATGATAACCATGATTTACCCGATTCTGGCACGTCTGGTTGCAACCTCTTTTTCTTTCCCGGGAAACAATAAGCTGGTAGTATGCTAGACGTGAAACAGACATGAACTCAATGAAGCAATGATGACAGCATGATAACCTCGCCCATCCCAATGCTGCAGAAAAGGCACATGACTCCATAGAAAACAGAAGGGAAACTTCCATCTCTCCCTGACACACGATCGAAACATACCGTGCCAGACTTGAAAAAGGTTCACAGTTTTTTTTCTCTTCACTGCCTAGACCACATCAGACTATATATATACACACACACACGCACAAAAACCGAGTCAACTGAGCCAACTGAGAGCCCCCTTTACACACCGCCCTCCCCCCTACTTCCCATGCCATTGCTCCCCACCTTGACCCCTTCCTTCTTCACATACGCCATCTCGCTCGACGGCACCACGACCCACTCCCTCTGATCCACGACCCTATCCAGCCCACAACTCGCGCTCTTCCACCCTTCGCCCCTCATACCCCTCGCCACCTTCCACGCACCGGCAATAACATCGTTGACACCCACGCCCCCAAACTGACTCCCCACGACCCTCAGCCTACCCTTGAACTCGCCCGAGATACCCTGGGCGAAATCCTTGATGCGCTCACTATATCCAAGCGTATACTGGGGAATGCAGTTGCGCGCGAGATTAGCAATGTGCGCCGTGGGTTCCGCTGTGATACCGAGGTGGCGCTTGAGGATGCTGCGGGCCATTTCCACGCCTTCTTCTTCAGACGGATACTCGGTCCAGCCGTCCCACCAGTGGCCGCCGAGCATGACGGTGAGTTTGGTGCCCGATGCCGTGTCTTGGCCTTTGATGGCCGACGAGTCGAAGATTACACCGAGCGCGCGCTCGGGGTTTTGCGCAAAGGGGACCGATTGCGGGATTAGGTAGCCGAAGCCTTCGACGGCAAGGAGCGAGGCTGAGGGGAAGAAGAGGTTGATGGTCATGACGGTGACGGAAGGCGTGAGGTCTTGATTGCTGAGGCTTGAGATGGCTGTGTCAAAGGTCGACGTTGTTGTTGACCCTTCGTTCTGTTGTTGCTGTGTTAGTGGGTTTGGGAGGTCGCAGTTTTTGATAACAAAGGGGAAGTAGGAACGTACGCCAGTAACGATTTCTATGCCTGGTTGGCCGTGGTTGGAATATGGCTTGAAAGATTGCACGGGTGATTCCGTCTTGATTTCGACGTTTCCCCTTGCTTCTATGGCATCCTGCAATGCCCGAACCAACTGCTGTAGACCGTTCCTTAATGTGAACATGCTCGTCTCCTGTAGATTTCTTGCAAAGTCGAGTTCTAGATCAATATCCTCGTTCATGGCTCGCGTGTGCTCCAGATCTAGGGGGTGAACAAGTGTAAGCTGCTCCGGCCGTGGGTCCTCGTTTTGCATGCGGAAGAAACCTCCCAGCGCATTTCCATATCGTCCCTCTAACTCCCAGGCCAGACTGAGCAATGATTTTGCACTGAGTTGCCAGATATCTCCCGCGTATATTCCATGGAACACAGCCGAGACAAGATTGTCCGCTATCCTCTTATCCACCCTTCGAGCAAGGAACGATCCCACAGTCTCGTCCGTCATAGAATCCGGTCTCTTTGGCTTCATCGGCTCAGTAATCATACCCATCGCACCACTCAGTATGCCCGTCCGCCACAGTGCAAAAAAGTCCGCAAGCGACGGGCGCTCCGAGGGAAGCCGATTCAGCTGATCAGGATAGTATATAAACCGATTCTTCGCTCCAGGCTCACTTTTCCTCGTATACGTAACATCGTTGACGAGACCGAGGTCTTGAACCTACGAACACAAAAACACCCAGTCAGCACATGAACAAACCAAGAAAGAGATTGGGTTATTGAGAGAGAGAGAGAGAGAGAGAGAGAGATGTTCTCTTGTCCCCAAAAGACGACAAAAAAAAACACACACGCACCAAACCCGCAGTAACAATCGCATTTCTCAGCGCCCTGGGCCCCAATTCAAAAAGCACACTACCGGTCTTTCCATCGTGCCCCTGCACCTGCACCCGGCGACTCTGAATCCACCCACCCGTCTCCTTGCCCGCTTCAAACAGCGTAATCTTGCTGTGCGGAAACTCTTTCGAGACAAAGTACGCGCTGCAAAGACCGCCAATGCCACCGCCCAGCACGGCAATGCGCTCAGGATACGACGACTGGTGCCGGCATTGTCGGCAATGCAGCAGTGTAGACGAAGCAAGCAGCAGTGCGCGGGTGCGCGGGTGCAACAGGTGCGTTGGTGATGGCGATGCGAGCACAGGGCGTGCAGCAACAGTCTTCAGCGTCTTCTGCGACACATTCTGGATCCGCATTGCCGGTCAATTGGGGTCGCAGAAGGGGGGAAGGGGGGGAGGAGGAGGAGGACGGAGACGCAGTTTTCAAGCGACCGGAACGTTGTGATCCATATATTATTTGTTTACGTGTACATACAAGTATATCAGTTCATTCTGTGTTCCCCCCCCCCCCCCGCTGCCGCCGGGGTCGGGGACTTTGGGCGGGTTTCGCCAAAAATGCTAGAAGCTTTGACCGCCTGGTGCCGTCATTGGTGCCAGAGTACCCTTTTACCTACCTACCTACCTACCTACCCCGGTCGGTGGTTTCGGGGTTAATAAATGGGCGAGAAACAAATACAGTTGATATCAAGTTCAGTTTACACGAAAGAGCAAACAATGAAAATGCAAAGTAGATGGATCAGACAAGAAAGTAAACAAGAAGATTTGCAGCCATTGATAGCCGCAGAGAAACCAGCTTCCATTTTTTGGGGCAAAAAAACAAACAAAGGCCTTTCTCTCCCCCAAATTTCACGGCAGCGCCGCCAACCGTAATGCCTCATCCAGCTATTCACAAGGCTTATTGTACATGTCTCTCCCCAAACAGCTACCTGCTCCCGATGGTATCATATCCCACTACAACTCAACTCTTTTACCCATAATCATGCCATTCTATGATTGTACATTCACGCTCTCACTCGTTTGTGCGTGTCCCTGGCTCATGTCCTGATCCTTGTTGGGCAGGATGAGCTCCTCCTTTTGCTCATCGTCCACAAACTTCCTCTCACTCACGTGCTCGCCTTCCTTGGGCGCCACCCACACGTTCGTCGTATTCTTCTTTTGACCCGGCTCATGCTTGTACAAACAACGGGGGTTCAGGCAAGGGTTAAACTTACACATAATCGAACTGTGGCCGTACTTGCAGCCTTCGACTGTGCAGTCGGCACCGTTGTGACACGGTTTCGCCGTTGGGTGCTTATACGGACATGATGAGGGATCGCGGCAGTTGGGCCAGAAAGCGCATTCCTGCTCCGACTGGTACTTTTGTCTTTGCGCAGGCGAGGGGTGCTTGCCAACACACTTCTTGTTCTTGCAAGCCGCTCCGTAGTCGCAGGTATCGTTCATGTCGACAGTAATGCCCGGCATGGCAGCAGGAGACTGATGGACAAACGGGCAATCTGGGTTTGTGCATCGCAGGTTGAATTTACACATGGTTGATGATGGCTCTGGGCGCCCTGAGGGCAATTCAACGTCCATGCCGCTGCCATTCTCTCCAGAGGGGCCGTCCGCCATGGTCTCATCTTCACCGTCTTTCTTAAAAGGCTTGGCGTTTGGGTTCATGCCCCTGCCGCCCCGGTCTATACGTTGGTGCAACGGCTTCTTGGATCCATTGCGGTTGTTCTGGTTAAAGTTGGGGTTGACAAAAGCTGTTGGGGCGCCACCCGAGAAGATCTGTTGCATCATCTGAGCCTGCTGCTCGTACATTTGCATGAGGGCCATCTGCTGTTGCGGGTTTAATCCGATGCCGTTCATGTTGTTCTGACCGCCCATTGGGTTCATGGGCATACCCGGCATTCCGCCCATGGGCATACCGTTCATGTTGTTCTGGCCCATATTGACGTTGGCATTGCCCATGCCCCGTCCGTTTGCCATTGCTTCGAGACCACGACCAATATTCTGACCTCGCGGCCCCTTTGGCGGATCCCGAGCATGTGCGTTTACTCGACCAACACCGCCACCGGCGCCACGCACGCGATGCAGGGCTGAATCGTTATTGCGATCCATGTTTTTGTTAAGCTGGTTGAGCATGCGGCCACCGCGTGCTGAGCGTCCTGCTTGAGCTCCGCTGCCGTTGCGCATTGCTTTGGGGCCTGTGGGACTGATAACTGTTAGTTGCATCCATAGCTCGTGGTGACGTGTGTACATACATTGTGCCTTGTCCCTCTGACACGCCTTCCATGTCTGTATCTTGGCCGGCAGCTACGTGGTCGTTGGATGTGCTGTCCATTTGGCTCTCGATCGACTGCGCAACCTGTCCATTGCCGCCGCTCGACTGTCGGAGATAATCGATTTGCTCGAATAACCACTGCGCAAACTGCTGTGTCTCTGTGTTCTCCGGGCCCAGATCTAGCAGGTCATTCGATAGTTCGGCGGCGACCTGCGCTTCATTCTTATCGTTGGCCAGCATCAGCAGAATGTACTCAAAGAGCGTCGTGTCGTCGCCGCCCGTTGTCCATCCAAACTCGGCGAGCTTAGGCTGGACAACCTGCTGCAGTTGCATCGCCAGCGGCGAGTCGGTCGCAAAGTCGGCGGCCATGGTGGAGGACGCGGGTGATGATGGAAAGGTGGCTGTCGCGTAGATTTGACGTTGCGCGGCGGCGGAAAACAGAGGGTGCGACGAATGAAACGACGCGACTTTCTTCGCCGATAGCTCGCGCTGGGGGCTTGTGAGATGGTCGTTACAAAAGTGTCGTCAGTCGTCAAGGGAAATTGCGCGTGAAGTGCAGGCTAGGGGCTTGGTGGTGTGGGGATGAGAGTAAATGTTTGGGAGCGCTTGCGGTCAAGTTCTGCGCAGTCAAGCTCGGCATTTGCCGCCCGGCTACTAGCGTCTGGCTAATGTGCAGCGCGTCAGTCACCCCAGAATCTTCGTCGCTGTTAACGCTGCTTACACATTACATACGACACTCGCCACTTGATGATTTCATATCGACACATGTGCATATACTCAATACATACACAACACAATGTTTTATGTACCAACATCACGTGCATTCGCCGCATGAATGTATATCACGTTCATGGCCAGCATACCGAAGTCCCATCTCATGTCAGCCCTTGTTGTCGGTCATCAGGGGTGGGTGATAACGTCGGTATTACTATCCTTAAACCCTGTATTCACTCACACCTTCAAAGGCAGTGACTTGTGAGATTGTTTTATTCTTGAAATGAATTACTGGCAGCTACAAACCTACTTACACGTCCTGTGGCTGGCCTTTCGAGCGCCCTTCCTCCATGTGCCGGTTCTCTTCCATTCGTCGCATGTGCTGTTCACGCATTTCATCTGTGATCCTGATACCGGTACCTCCGGTTCGGCGTTCTGGGAGCTCATCTTGAGTGGCTACGCTGACTTGTTGCGAAGACTTTTCACTGCGCTTTTTTCGACTCTTGGAGCTATGCATATTACGAAAACGTTGACTTTTTGATCCACTCTCGTCTGATCCGTTGGGTGACTGGTCGACGTAGCCTTCTGCGTTGAACGACGCCCGGTTCGAAGGACGGGACCAACTCTTTGGCACAACAGACGCAAGCATTGGGCAGCAGCCAATCATCACAGCTGGCGAGGCATCAGCATGGTTTTAGACAAGGCAAGAAGCAGCTCTTACCTGTTGAGCACTCCACAATCGTCCATAAGGTAAGCCATTTCGGATCTGGTGACTTCGGCTTCCCATCCTGACCAACCTGAACGATGCGAATAGTCGAAAAGAGTATACAAACAAAACCAGAAGCGAAGAGGAGTCCACATCCAATTTTCTTCGCTTTCTCCATCTGGAGATTCCAAATGAGTCTTATCGGCAGGAACATGACTTCGACATGCGTCAGTATGCATACTCGACCAAAACACAAGTTGGGAAACTCGACAACATACCCATAAGATTGGTCAGTGTGTCGACCGCATATGCGTAGTAAAGGTTTGCTGTCTGTCGCCGCGTCTCCTCAAGCGATAGGCACTGTTTGCCTTTTTCAAAGAACGCCTTCGTGTCGTTACATGCCAGGCCTGGACCTGTTATGATACAGGTTGCCCAAGTCTGAACCAATGTCAGCCAAGCTCACATTAGAGTCTTTCGCATTGAACTCCTACTCACCACAACGCAAAACACTAATATTCCCCACCAGACCCATAGATATGTCCTGGGCATCCCGGCGAGCAGCTTCTTGTAGAGCGCCAACAGTGAAAACTTGACAAACCAAAGACATGTCCAGTACTCCATGCCACTTTGCCACATAACTTCAGATGCGAACCTGAGATCTGCCGCCATCGTTGGCCATGGCACAATCTGGCCTGCTGCCAGCGCTTGCAGTTTGAAGAAAGTGGGCGTAATCACTATGTAGAGAATGGTAAAGGCGAGATAGGCCAGGAAAGCAATTACAAGCAAGATGTCTTGCGCTTCGATCGGCCTTCGTCGCCATATCTGGACCGCAACACGTATTGCAAACACAGTCGAGGTGGTGCCGAGCATGGCATAATCGCTCCGGAGGAGGTCATGTTGCGAGATCCAATCCGCACCCGTCGACATGGTGGGTACAGGCTCAAAGAGAGTCGGGTGTGGGCCCGGCCCTAAAGATCACAACAAGTGCGAAAATCTCTAGAGCGCATGCGGCATGCTTCTGTTGTCTGGTGATGTGGCGCGGGGAAGCGGTTCAGCGCGAGTAATCGGTCGAAGATGGCCGCGGAGGTTAGGATTGCAGATACAGAGAGCCCTGGGGGCAGCCACTTTACAAACAATACTGCCAACCCAGTCGTAGCTCCAACAGGGCGCCATACGTAGCTTTCGGAGGGATCCGCAGGCCTGCAAGACGCATGGAATTCAGTGCATGGGGCCATGCACGTGTCTGCCGAAAGGAGAACTGGAAGAGAGTCGATTGACGATATCCGTAGGGCTGGTAGTCGGAGCCGCGCCCCTGGATTTGTGCAACTTGACCCGTTCGTCCACCACGCTGAGCACTCCCACTGTGGAGCGCAGCGTACTCAGTTTGCTCAAGCAAACCGTTGCAACATGTGTAGGATGCACGCTCACGACGGGGTGTATTACTCCACGGGCTGGTGCGCACCAGGACGGTTGCCCGTCAGGACGCCTTAAAAAAACTTTAGCGCCTGTGCTCGCGCATTTCGTTCCTTTTTGCGACATGGTACGTATTCCGGCAGGCCTTGGTGGAGGGAACTGCGCGAGGCTCTATACCCGCGTCGTTCTCAAAAGCACTGCAATTCGTCGATCGCAATATCCTTACTTGTCGTGTTCTTTAGTATTGCCTCCTGCTAGGTATACTTAAAGTGTGGTACGCACCCAGAAACGCCCACCATTTGCGTTCGGCGAAGCAAGCCACAGCGGGACTAGGCTCATCTGTTCGCTGATTGTTGGCTGGCTCAGCGCGGGCATACTGTGTACTCTGCCAATACAATAAAGAGAGAGTACGTGCGCCCAGCTGTCATTGGAGCGAAGGCGTCTAGCCGGCGCAGTGGCGTTGACGTTTCGGGCAAACGTCCTGAAGGCGAACGTGCAGCGCGGTTCGGCATGGCTGCTCTAATATCCACCTGCACGCGCCACCTTGGGGTTGTCGAGTCGTTGAAGGAAACTCCCCGTTATTTGTAGTCGGTGGCGTTTTGACACGGCATTACTATCGACAGGGTACTAGCCTCTCTAGTCTGGATGCTATCAAACCCGCGCGGTGCTGTTCTCTTCCACACCCCGGCACGGCACTATGCTCCCGTCGGACGAGCACGCTTCTGACAGTGTGCTTGTGTACTTACGGACAAGATAGCCAAAAGTATATTAACCAGGCGGCTTCCTGTGTCTTACTTAGTTTCTGACCCGGATTCTCGGTACCTACCCCGGACCCGCAGACCTCAATTATGAGACTCCCTCTTCGCGCGGCCTTTTCGGGTCTGTCTGTAATAGCAGGTGCGCTGGCAAGCGGCTTTGAGCCTCCAAACTTCGATGTAGCCAAGGCGCTCCTCGACAAAGGGATCAACGTCACGGCTATCCCTGGTCTGGCAGAGCTAGTCGACGCATCTTCGCCCACCGCTTGCTCGATAGCTGTGAGTGCGCTTAGGCGATCATCGTAGCTTACTACTTAGATCATGAGCTAATGGCATACGCACCTAGTGTTCCACTCTTGAACGCACTTTCGGCAACAACAGTGTGCTCGCACAGGGAAGCTCAGCATACAGCAACTTTACTGGCGATTACTGGGCGGCGCAGCAAGCTGCAGTCAACCCCTTTTGCATATTCAAACCTAGTGATGCTCCACAGGTAGCAGCCGTTGTCTTGCTGTCTCGATTCACCCAATGTCCTTTTGCAGTGAAAGGAGGAGGGCATGCTGCGTTCGCTGGAGGGTCGAGTATTGAAGGCGGCATCACAATTGCGCTTGAAAAACTCAATCAAAAGTCCCTGTCGCCAGATCATAGTGTAGCTTCCATTGGGCCAGGTAATACTTGGGGCGATGTATACCCGTGGATTGAGCAGTATGGACGAGAAGTGATTGGTGGTAGGGTATGTTTCCAAATGCCTTTTCATCGTCTTCCCCGCCTTGTTTTCGTTGAAAAGACCCCGAATGTCTGACAACAATTAGATATCCTCGGTCGGAGTTTCTGGATTGACCCTTGGAGGAGGGATCTCTCACTTTTCCAACGCCTACGGATGGGCTTGTGATAACGTTGAATCGTTCGAAGTAGTAACAGCGTCGGGCGAGATTGTTACTGCAAGCGCTGAGAAATATCCCGATCTCTACTGGGCTCTTCGTGGCGGTGGCAATAATTTTGGCATCGTCACACAGTTCAACGCGAGGACCTTCGTTCAAGGTCCAATGTGGGGTGGGCAGCGCGCTCATAGCGAGGACCAGTGGGACAAGCTGTATCAAGCCTACTACAACTTTGCGATCAACGCCGCAAAAGATACCAAGCAGGCTCAAATTGTCTCATTTGCGCTGCAGAACGGTACGAAGATTGCAGCGGTGGACCTTGAATACTCTGACCCGACCCCATGGCCTCCTGTTTTCGATGAATGGAAGGCCATTCCAGCAGTCTTTGATCAGACCTCTGTTGGAAACATGTCAAAGATGGCGAACCAGCTTGGCGCGGGCGCCCCCGATGGCATACAGGAGACGTATTGGGACCTCACCTTCAAGGTGGATAAGGATATCTTCAAGACTTTCATTGGCATCTTCTTCGACATGGTACCGGCAATTGCAGACGCTGCCGGCATTCTGCCCGTGCTGTCATTCCAAGCAATTACTGTCCCAGCTATGCAGAAAATGCAACAGAATGGCGGCAACCCACGGGGCCTCAATCCTGAGGACGGTCCCCTCTGCATCAGCAATCTTGCCATCATGTGGACAAACGTTGCGGATAACACGCGCATCATGGCATTTGCTAATAGCCTGATCGAGCGTCTCATTGCTGAAGCAGACGAGAGGGGGCTCTACAGTGACTTTCTCTATATGAATTATGCATCGCCCTACCAAGATGTCTTTGCTGGTTATGGGGCAGTCAACAAGCAGAAGCTGCAAGACATTGCGGCCAATTACGACCCCACGGGTGTTTTCCAGACACTCCAACCTGGCTACTTCAAATTCGAAGGAGCGCCATATGGGGCATTCCCTTCTTAGTTCTTGTACCACACTTTATTGTATAATGTATATGCATATTCTGTAGACAGATGTACAAATGTCCACGTGCATGTAGATGCACAGTCACATTGTGTAACTTGCTTTTTCGGGGGGGTTTCTTGTGTACGCAACCTGAGCATGGAAAAGACCATCGGCAAAGATACACATGCAACACAAGGATGTGTTGTGCTTCTAAATAATAATGCGCCAATGGGAAGACCCTTACTATGACGAGGCGTTCCTTCAATGGAAATCTTGACGTCGACAGAGTGAGGCTGCCAAGAATGTGGTCATAGCGCCTGCCCAAGCGTTTGCTGCAGCTGCTTCCAGGTCTTTTTGTCCGTCTTGGAATCTTCCATCAACACTCACATACCCCAAAGCCGACCACCCACTTGTTAATCGCAACCCTCGCACCACTTGGACGTATACGCGACACCGATATTCATATTGCAAGCATGTCTCGCGGCGGCGGCACTACGCTCTACGTCACCGGCTTCGGCCACGGAACACGCGCTCGCGACCTTGCCTACGAGTTCGAACGGTATGTCTCCCAACGCCTCGCCCCAACTCGATCGCCCTCGCATCTTCCTCCTCCATCATAATCATCGATCCTGCATCTCCTTGCTATCCACGCTCCGCTGCTGTTGCGACTGCTCCCTCGCGCGCTCCCACTTTCTTGCTCGCGTAAGCAGCGCCTGCACCAGGTTTCATCACGCATTAAGCGCCTTCTCGAAGCTATTCTGACAACATTCAAGCTATGGTCGCCTTGTCCGTTGCGACATTCCGGCTCCCCGTTCGGCTTCGTCTAGGCTGTGAGTTCGCCCTCCACCCCAACCACCTTCTCAGGCTCTAACAGAACAGCAGCTTCGCCTTCGTCGAATACGAGTCTCGCCGGGATGCCGATGATGCGTACCACGAGATGCACAACAAGCGCATCGGCCGCGACGACTTGTTGAAGATTGAGGTATGTTTGGGAGGCTACTACGGACGCAATTGAATCTAACAAGGCACAGTGGGCACGTACTCCTCCCTCGGCATCGTGGCGCTTCGACTCAGGACGTGACCGCCCCCGTGGTGAGCGCTCTGAGCGTGGTGGTGACCGAGGCGACCGTTCCGACCGCGGTGATCGTGCAGACCGTGGGGTGCGTTCTCCACGCCGTCGCAGCACTTCCCCACGCCGTGAACGCGGTGCATCCCCTCGCAAGGATGACCGCCGCGAACGCGACTACGACCGCCGTGACCGTGACCGATCAAGGAGTCCTATTGACGGCGACCGCGAGATGAAGGACGTCCGCGACCGTGAGGACGACCGAGGTGACCGTGAGCGTGGCGACCGCGAAGAGAGGCGCGACCGTGAGCGCGAGGCTGAGCCGCCTGCTGAACCCCGAAAGAGTGAGACATCCGATGCCCTTGACGACAAACCGGTCTAATCACCATTGCAGTCGAATCTCCTCCGCCTGCGGCTCATGACGACCTGGACGTAGCTGAGTAAGCCATGAGCTGGCAACCCTCCAGCAGGCAGTATCCGGATTACTGCCGCCGTGTGCACAAGGCTAGTATTGACGCGCGTGCTCGAAATTGGTACTTGCACAGTGTTTTTGTTGAGCGGATAATGGTTTCTGGGATCATGTTTTGTTTCTCCGAGTGGAGGCTAGAGTTACGTCTATGTCCTGCCACGACATTAATGCATTCAGCAGTCGAAAAAGCTCGATTCGGATCTTCTTTGGCGAACGGTCACGGCGATTATCATTCGGTTCGGTCTTCTCGCCTTGTTTCGGTCGATCGGTCGACATCGATGCGGTTCGAGTTCCTTGCCTCCTGTACACTATTCGGTCGGTCCGTAGCACCTCGAAGTCTTCCAACCTCACTTTTCCTCTTCGATTCCCCCCCCCGTTCGATTTCAGCTTCCCGCTATTTCCCGACGCCCTTCCCAAACCCGATGCGAAACATTCGATATTCAAGGTTTGTATACTTTGCGCCTGCTACTAGATAGCCTCATGTTGTTTTGTGACTGTGACTTGTATTGCCTATGTATTGAGCAGCTTGTAAGGTTAGTTTTGTTCAATGTACGCCCGGACTGTTGAGATTTGCCGTGTTCTCGTGACTGTCTGGAGATCTGTGCTTTGCAGGTGCGTTGATGCGTATTTTTGCACAAGACGCTGCGTATCCCGTGTACGCAAAGAATACCGTATTGATGTTGAGTATCTGCACCGTGGCGCATGACAGGGTGCCACGCGCCTTGGAAGGTCGGAGGCGGTTTGCGCTGAGAGGGTGAACGCGGTCCACGCTATGACAAAAGTGGCTTAGATTATCCGCCACGCAAGCTCAGCCACCCTCGTTCGTACGCCGCGACAACTGATGTGTGATCAACTCGGCACTCAGGTTCACCTATTATCCGAATTGTCGCTCGTTTTTAATCCATCTTCTACACTCCTACACATCGCTCTCTCATTTCCTTTCGATTTGACATTGTCGTTGACGCCACAACACCGACCGGGACCACATAGGTGATACAGATAGCCGATCGACGACGGACCAGACATTGCCCAGCTTTGCCGCGGAACGCGTGCAGCGACCTCCTTAGACTTGCCTCTTAACTGGTGGCTCTTTCGCTTCTACACTACAAACTTGACAACTCCCTTCACAAACGGCCAACATGTCGAAACCATATGTACGTGTCCTTACCCTTGGGTTGAGCGATGGGGTGGTCGCCATTCCACTCTACTGTGGCGCGCACTTCCGTCGCCACTCCTGTTTAGCATAACGAGCGCACCATACTAACGCCCCAAGCAGGACCAAGGCGCACCACCTCAATACCCTCAGAACCCAGCGCCTGTTCACTACGACGCTGGTCCTGCTCCTGGAGGCATGCAACCGTCATACTACAACCAAGGTGGCGGTGCCCCTGATTACTACGGCGGAAGCCCGAACCCTTATCAGCAAGGCCAACCAGGTCCGTACGGCCCGCCACAGGGCCAGTACGGTCCTCCTCAAGGACAGTACGGTGGGCAGCAGATGCAATACCAACAGGGACCGCCTCCACCAGGTGGATATTACCAGGACGACAGGAGGCATGATGGTGGCGGAGGTGGCGGACTCCTTACTGGATTGTGCGCGGGTCTGGCGTGTTGTTGTTGTTTGGACTGCTTGTTCTAGGCCTGAGGCCATGAGGGCTCAGCACTAAGAACAAGAGTATTGGAGTGAGGCAGCAGACTGGCCCAAGGCATTCGGGCAGGTCAGAAATGCCGGGCGCATGACGGACGTGATTGCATATGCGCATGGGCGTCGGGAAGAAGGGGCGGAGACTGGAAGCTTTGTTTTGTTCCGATGGTAATCTATCCGCGACACGATGCCGTGCGGCAATCGCGTAGTCTAATAATCATACGACTCCCCAGATGCGACGAGGCTGCTGGCGGTATTGTGATATACATTGCATCATGAATGTGCTACAAGAGCAGGAGGTCAGCCTCTCTATCCAAAACCAGCCTGGTCGTGTCCAGCCACAGGGCGTGTCGCTTCAGGTATGCGGCATCGACATGGTCGCCCGTGGCTTGGGGCGCCCGGGGGACCCCACAGCGGAAACCAAATTGCAGCCGCATCAGCGCTCCAGCTCCAGACTTGACCCTTTGTGAGGAACGCTTGTTCTGAGTTTGGTGCCATTGATGCCGCCGCGCGTTTGGAATCCGTTCCCCGCCCGCTGTGTTTCGTCGGGGCAGATCAGCGGCCGTGTGACCTGTGGGACGGAATCGATCCACCAGCCTAGAAAACAACGCTACCCTTGTCTGCGCCATGCGCAAACAAATAAAGAAGCAGCGATCTGCACCCAGAAATCACTATCGTCTGTGTCTGGTCGAAGGCTGGTCTAGTCTGCGCTTGGACGCTCAGCTACACTGGTCGTGATTTCTACATATCGACATCTCGGCCCAGCTCACCACCTCCTGCTCCTCCACAGCTGTACTCACTTCGCCGTCGCCCGCCAACACCATGATAGTCAGCGGTTCGATTGTCGCCCTTGTGTCCCTCCTCCCCGCAGTCTGGTCGGTGCCAACAAACTACACCAACAAGCTGCCTACGTGTGGCGCGGTACGATGCATGTCACGCACACGCCGAGTTATGGGCTAATCAAGCCAAACAGAACGAATGTCTCACCGACGGCTACTTTGATGGTTGCGCGCCTGGCAACCTAGTCTGCATATGTAACTTGGAGCAAGACGATGTCGACAGATATGTCAAAACCGTGCAGCCATGCCTCGACGGTGAACCAGGCAAGAAAGCATGCACTCTTGGAGCAGTTGCCAGTAAGTTGTCCATGTGAACCCTGAACGACCCTGAACGACTGATCATCTGACTTTGCCATTTTAGACTACAAACAGTTGCTCGCAGACGTTTGTTCCAAGCCCGAGTATGGCAATTTGAACAAGACGGTCTCGTTTGAGCCAGTGCAATTTCCTCCTCGATGAGTTCAGTTGCCGATATTCACAACAACACGCTTCATGAGACTGCAGACATCACATCACAGCACGACGCCTACGTAATGGATAATAGACACTCCTTTGATACCCTCTGAACTTTGTCCTTACTCTCTGTTGCTGTTTGATTCTGTACTCTGGTTTTGTAAATGCAGTTTGCGGTACATCTTTGCAAGGCGCACTCGACATCTGTCAGCGATGCCGGCTCTCCGTCTTCAATTTCGTCTTCTGACCTACTCAACGCGCTGCTATCTATGACTAACATGTTGATCATTGAATAATTTTCTATTTCAGCAAGAACTTGAGGCTTCCACAATGTACAGCAGTTTAACATGAAAATCAGAGCCGACAACATTCTGCGTGAATACAATCCGCCTCCTGTGGTTACCTCTCCTTCTTCTCCAGGTCTCGCCGCTGCGACTAGGACATCCTTGGCTACAGCAAACTCTGTATCTTGCCTTGTAAGATGTCCTTGCGCTTTCAAACCTACAATCCAACTAACCCAGCCAGATATCTGAAAAATGCCAGCAAGTTGCCCGAGACAAATTACCACCTGATAGTGAAGAGCTCAGCTGCGACAGCCCCACTCTAGAGTCGGGCTACTTCCGCTGCGTATGTGCCAAAACACGGTTTCTGGGCCATAACGACTATTTCTCTGCGCACTGTGTCTTTCAAGAGTGTAAAGACGACCGCGAAAAGAGAGGTAAGTTTGCAATTATTGCGTTTGTAGAGTGGGAAACTAACTCGAGTCCGACATAGCATTTGTAAAGCAGTACAAAGACGGTTGTAAGCAGATAGGAGAGTCTCTAGCAGACATTCCTAAGGAATGGATCCCATTTACAAAACCGGATGCATCGAGTTCATCACAACGTTCTCATCAAAGTACAACACGCAGTACCCCACTTGCCAGTGATGCACCTAGTACCTCTACAGCACCAAGCGCGACAACCGATCCAACCCAGTCGTCCACTGTTGCAGAAGCAGACGTCGTACCTGCACCAACATACTCAAGCAGCAAAGAGATTCAATCACCAACCCCATCTTCCTCTTCTGCAGCAGCCATCCTACCAACCCCCCAAAACACACCCAACACAGCCGTAATCGCAGGAAGCATCGTCGCCACAGTCGTCATCGTCACCCTCCTCATCGGCGTCGGAAAACTCTACTACGACACCAGGAAGAAAGCAAAGCAACTCCGCGTGGCTAATGCCCAGCTGGAAGACGCTACGAATCCAGATGGCGTCTCAAACCGCATCGTGACACTCATGGCTGGATCGGATAGAGCGTCTGTAGCGTCGCGAAGCAGTTCTGCCACCGATCCGCGTCATACAGCAGCCTTTCCTAATGGAAACACGGCAGTGTGTAATGGGGAGATGGAGGCGGTGGGAGCTGCTGCTGCTGCACAATCCAGTGTGAGTGGGGATTATACAGAGGAGTACTATGGGTCGAATAAATATGACCACGGGTTTGCTTCTGAATATACGGGGTATAGTGCGGAGAGTGGAGGTGGTGTCGTAAGGGGCTCGTACGATGGAGGGGTTGGTGCCGAGAGGAGGTTTTCGGGAGTTTCCGAGAGTGACTATGGGAGTGTGAGGTTTTAGGGGTGTAGAGGGGATGGCGTGCGTTTGAGCGCGCACGGTCAGAAAGAATGGGAGGAGGATTAAATGCTTTTTGTTTGCGGGTTCTAGGTTATGTTTATTTGACAGGGCTGTTAATGCTGTCTTGATATCGGTTTGTGGCGAGTATGGCCTTGGACAACGGGGCCAATTCTTTCTTTTTCTTTCTTCTAGCATTTCTTGGTGCTTTTCCTTGTTCGACAACTCGCACATGGTGTTTTTTTTAAAGAAAAAAGAAATTCCAGGTCCCTTGGAAATATTCAACTCCAACACTTCCACAAATCCATGTTCAAAATGTAGATACCACCATTCTTCCAGACGTTCATTTCCTCCACCAAGCCCAAATTTCAAAGCACACAGTCACGAGCCAAACTCCAATTGTTCATCCACTCTTCCTGTTTCCCAGCCTCTATTTATGCGCCCATTCTTCTTCCTTCCCGAACCCTAATTGTACACCCACTCCTCCTGTTCCCTCAAGCCCTCTCACCCAAGCATGTGTCATTACCCACCACCATACCCCCCTATCTTAACTCCTTCTCGCCCTCTACCCATTTCTCTCAGCTTCTTCATCTTCAATCTAGTCGAACCAGTCCGTTTCGCACACAAGCAATCTCCCATTCTTTCTTTCTTCGCCTTCTTCCTTCTCAATCAAGATCCATTCAAGCGCCATCATTGGCAGCATGCAGCTTCCTCCAACGCAACGGCTTATAGTAGAAGCTGCCAGGGAAGTATTTGCCACCGACCTGGTGATGTAAAATTCCCGTGAGTTGTAGTCTGCCCATGTATGGCGTTGGTTGTCCCTGGACACTGCGCATGTTCAAAAGGCTGATGGTGGAGGCAACCAGTTTCTCGAATGTTCTGTCCAAGGCTTGTTCTTCTTTGGTGTAAGCGTATACATGAATGGGTCCTGTGGGTTTATAAGCCTCAGGTTCGCCTGAGACGCCCGGTCTCGTGGATTGAGATAAGGCAAGAGTCTTCCGTCTGGAGGATACGATTTGAGCGCGCACACCCCAGCCTGTTTGTAGTGGTATAGAAGGGGTGGGACTAGAGAACAGTCTAGTCGCACAGCGCCGATGCCTTCGATGTGATTGAAGCTTTGGCATCGCGGGTGACTGAAACATGGCATCGGGCAGTTGAGTTGTAGGATATACCAGAGGTGTAAATCTCGACATAGGAAGATGACTCCCATCTTGAGCGCTTGACTGGCGGCTGATGAACAGGTGCAAGGTAATGCTCAATATATACCGGTATATCTTGCTGCATATACGATGTTTCGCCATAGAGACAGTTCTTGTATTTATATATAGTAACGTCTGCATTTTAGTTCCTGTAGGAATCGGTTCCCCAGACAAGGCCACAGTTTTGTTTCTGCTTGCGAGTGATGCGATCTTTTAGCCAGTCTCGTCTGCGGAACTTATTTAGTGTAGAGGCATCCGTTGCATACCGAGAGAGGTCATCCAGTTATATATTTTCGCAAGATCTTCTCGCGTCATGGCATCGGCTTGCATCAGCGAATAGGTCGTCAGTGGCTGTTGTATGCGTTGGTGCCCATCTTTTGATTCATGAGAATGTACATGATGCGATCCAGAGATATCTGGATGGTTTTGGCCGTAATCGAGTTTCTTTATAGCCATCTTATCTCGAGGTTAGAAAGATTGTCAGGCATGGAAGATACTTTTGGAAGTTAACTTACCCATAGATTAGGTGGCGGTGTTTCGTCGTGGGGTATATAGGAATGTTGATGTGCACATTTGGAATTGGATTAATCCGTCTTTTTATCTATCCTGATCACGCAAATTCTGTGTGTTTCTGACAAAGTTTGCGTACAGTCAAAGGTGATTGGGCAAACATATTGATTTTCTCTGAGTGCAGAATCGTTGTCGTCAAAATTTTGATTGCTGCAACTGCAAACAGCAAATCTTTTTTTTTTCAAAAAAAGAAGAGCTCAGAAGTGAAAGGCGAGTCACAGGGATGCGCCAATAGGGGAAATGGGAATCTAGAACAAGTACTTTGTGGTTACTAGCGCAGCTGCTTTGTCACCATTTGTTTAGCTGTATCAGAACTGATCTTAGATAGTGGGCCCTAGAACCCCCCTTGATATGTTACCAGGAAAATAAGTTCTTGCCTGTCTAGTCGGCAATTGGGAAGTGAGGGGCATCTAGTTTGATGGCACAAAACAAGCATGTCAATGTGCTCTTTGAGAAGTAGTTGCTAGAACAAATAATGGCCTGATTGATATATTTGTTAGACCACGGGAGAAGGGTTGGTTATTGGTTTGTCTAGGGATGACATGGAAGATGCGGGACGAAACATGTTGGAAAACTATTGCTCTTGCCCAAATTGCGGTCTTGGAATATACCGGATCGTGATGATATTTGCGAGGATACTAGTTAAGAAAGGTGTTTTTACCAGCCTGTGATAGCTCTATGTATTATTCCTCAACCTGCCGCCCACTCTACTTTTACACTGCTATTAGTATCTGCATTTGTTAAACTATCTCGATTTATTTTCGGTTACTCTCATTAACAAGACTGCTGTTTTAATTTCTGGGACCTTCCCCAGGCTAATGTGTCATTCATGCAGAAGTAGTTAGTGCTTCATAGCCCCATGGGAATTTTATTCTTGCATTTTCTTTGAACGTTTGCAGGCGTTCCATAATTCTCAAATCCTTCCATAATTCAGAAACTGCCTTTGATGTTCTTTCTTGCACTTTTGGACCGCTCAAAATCAGAAGGGCCTTTGTATCGCTTCACAACCAGTCTTCGAAAGAGTCTCTTCGGGCGTTTTCTAGTGCACATTTAGACACATCATCCTTGATTTCAGCAGTCTTGTAAGTTCCTGGTCGCACAAAAGTACTGCAAAGTATGCAGTTCTCATTGGACGCGACGAGGGCCGAGTGTTTATAACCAATAATCGAGCAACGACATGTTATGCGATTTACAGAGAATAATCACTTGTTAATTCACATCTGTGAATGTTGTTAACGATGGCTCCACTCTGTGTTAACAGTTGTTTATACGCCGACGCCTGAAGCGGGGCTGTGAGGCGCGTGCACAGACCAGATATACGTCATCATCGACTGCGCCTTCATTACTGTACTCATCAACAACCCCTCAGCCTCAAAGATCCCCAGTTTTTACAGCCACTTGTCCGAGACGCACGTATTTGTAGAACCCAAAGATCTCTCCAGCCACCCTCCAAATCCGCAGCATCATAAGTATGGCTTCGCATAACACCGACAACCCATGGCAAGACCAGCCCAGTCAGCAGCAAAACTACCAAAGCCAAAACCCGTACCAAACCTATCAAAATCAGTCTCACAATCCATACTCTCAACAAATGCCACCAAATCCACTAGGCCAACACCCTCCTCAACAGCATGATACATCTCCATGGGCCCAAGAGACCGGCCAGACCCAATCTCACAACCCTTATGCCCAGACCACCCCTCAGGAGACTTCTCAACACTCATACTATCAACAAGACACACCACAACAACCCTACCAGGGCCAGACATCGAATGCTACTCAAGGAGAGGTCCCGCCTGGTCTGCCACCTCGCCGCACAGCCACGGAAATGGCGCTCCCTACTGGCCAAGACCGCTCCCACCAGATCGAGGTCATGCAAAGCTATGAAGCGGCAGGAAGGAAAGACGATGACGACGAAAATGTCGAGATTCTCCAGCGCGAATTTCCAAAGCTCGATGGAAGCCTTATTGCCGCCATTTACGGCGATAGTAAGAGTCTAAGTGCAACTCGAGAGATGTTACACGCGTTGGAGTAGATGGAGGGGTCCTACGGAAGTTGGGGTCAGATTGGAGAGGCACTAAGCGGACCCGGATGGGTTGGAGAACGAAAGTATACTCGGGGATCGTAGCGTGTCTTGTTGGAGGCTTATGCGTGCATGGCTCTCCCCCCTGTTAGTATTGAGTTTATTGTGCAGTTTAAATCGTCGACAACTCTTAAGGTTCGCCATGCAACCAACCGCCTCCACCTACATTGTATCCTCTGAACACCACAACATCGTTATGATATTACTATGAATTTCACATGCAGTGATGAACAACAAAATCAAACTTCAAGAAATACGACAAGTAGGCCGATTGGCGTGTTTACGTGGATCCATTGGAAGGAGTATTTGGAACAATCGAGGCACAAGGCCGCCCTTAGGACCACGGCCCAAGCATATGCAAAGGCCCTCTAATATCGCTTGTTCGCTCGGGCTTAGTCTATTTAGTGACATCCCCCATCACTTCTGTACAAGACTCCACTTGGCAACCCCCGGTGTTCTGAACACACTATCGCCTGTGGTGCTGCTGCCACATGAGGTTTCTATCATCCTTTGCAAGATGCTCGTTGCAATGATCATACATCACACACCCAAAGCCAATATCTCCAAGTCATAAGAGCCAACTCACAAACCCTCCATGTTTGAAAAGCAAACGTGACTACCGTACATAGGCGCTGCATTGCCGACGAACCTTCTTTACTTCCAACACGGCATTCCCCAATCCGGCAACCCCGCACGACGCCCAGTCCGCCAATACAACCACAACCTTGGTTTTCTAGCTAGTACTAGGATCTCATACGACATTCCCCCCCCGCAAAAGATAGCCGTTCCATAGCACCTTTCTTCTCCGCAGTTCCCCACATTTACCCCGGACCTACTACCACCGTCCATCACGGCATCCAAACACTACTATGATCGTCCTGGAGATGCAAAATGCATTAGGCCTGTAAAGGAAAACCCGGGTGCACATCAGTGCGGGTAGCATGAGTACATAAAAGACGAGGATGGACGTGTGATTGGGGGGTTCCACAATACTGCATCAACTCATTGTGAACTACCTTTGCCCAGTAGCAGGTGTATAGGGCATTTCTTTTTCCAGAATGGGTTTTACAGAGTTTAGGGGCAAGAGCCTTATTACTGTTATCCTTTTGACGTCGGGGTTGGACTTTTTGCTCTTTGGATGTGAGTATGCAACGCTGTGACACGTACTCTTTAAGCATCAGAAGCTGATATCATAGCAAGATGATCAGGGCCTTTTTGGTGGCATCCTCGGCGGTCAACGCTTCAAGGATACGCTAGGCAACCCGAATCCTACGATGACGGGACTTGTGACGGCGATTTACGATATAGGATGCGCACTTGGTGCTGTTGTTGCGTTTGTGTATGGAGAGAAGATTGGGCGGAAGCGGTCGATTATTCTTGCCAATCTTATCGTTGTTGTGGGAGCTGCTATACAGACCGCTAGCTTTGAGTATTGGTCAGTAACTATCCTCTAAAAGGATGCAGGAAAAGCATACTGACGTTTTGTGCTCCTCTATAGGCAAATGTTCGTCGCTCGCATCATTGGCGGTGTCGGTGTTGGGCTCTCAACGGTTGCGGTGCCTATTCTACAGTCGGAAACACTACCTGCACACAATCGTGGTGCATTGCTGGTTGTCCAATCTGCTCTCATCATCATTGGTGTTGCGATTGCTTCTTGGCTATGTTTCGCGACACTGTATGCCAATAGCTCGTTGCAATGGCGCTTTCCTGTAGCTTGTCAGATTCTGTTCTCGCTCATGGTTCTGACGCTTTGTCCGTTCCTATGCGAGACGCCGCGATGGCTGGCATCTCGTGGTAGAATCGAAGAGGCAAGTTCAATCAACGTGGGCTAAGGTAATATTACTAACGCTGCAGATAGGCTAAGCATACTATCAGTCGGTTGCTTGACAAGCCTCTTGATGATGAGGAAGTTCAGGGCCAGCTACAAGAGATTCTCGATGCGATTGAGGCCGAGAGCAGCGAGGAAGAGCCCACCTGGGGTGAAGTCTTCAGCAATGCCACCAAGACTCGAAACTTGCATCGCGTCCTTCTCGGCATGGGTCCGTACATGATGAACCAGTGGTCTGGCATTAACGTAAGCTCTCTCCAACTTAAGTTTCACACCGAGACACTGACTTGGATGCAGGCTCTCTGCTACTACCTCGCCTACATCTTCCAAGAGTATCTCGGCTACACACCCAGCATGGCCCTCATCCTGGCTTCTACAGCCTTCACTCAATACGCAATTTTCTCTTGGCCTCCATACCTTTATATTGATAAGATTGGGCGGCGCTGGTCGGTTATGGGATCTTCGGCTGGTTGTGCAGCCTGCATGGCCATAATCGCCGGTTGCCTAGCCAAGAACAGCTTCTCAAGCGCAGCAGCCGCAGTGGCATTCATGTTCCTGTACTTGGATTGCTTCACTCTTGGCATTTTACCCGTATCGTGGTCCTACTCTGCCGAGATCCAGCCCCTTCGCGTTCGCAATAAAGCCACGGCCGTCGGTGTCTTCTCGCACTGGATGTCCAACTTTGTCGTCGTCATGGTCACACCCATTGGTCTCGACAACATCAAGGGCCACTACTTCTGGGTCTGGGCTGCTGTTTGCGCGTCTTTTGTGCCGCTCACATACTTCTTTGGTGTGGAGACGTCTGGAAGGACGCTGGAACAGATTGATACCATGTTCTTCGAGAAACCAAGAATCTGCATGGGCCTGAACAAGGAGAACAGAAAAGTCATCAGGAGCAGCAAGTCAGATGAAGAGCAGAGGTACAGGAACTTTGCGCACATGAATGAGAAGCAGGAGGTGGTTATGGCGGAGAGAATGAGCCAGGGTGACTGAATGTACATAGCTACCCACGTACATAGTCATCACGGTGTTCAAGTGGCACAGTGGTATCAAGCTAGATGAACCTTTTAGTAACAGATTCATTTCATGAAGACCGTAGTATGTATCATTAGCGATAGTGATAGGCCTCCCCCCCTTTCCTCCATGGGATCATAAAAACAAAGCAGAAAGAAAACTCTTCAAGAATTGTCCAAAATTTATCATGGTTCACCCTGAACCCGGTGTTCATGCTCAAGCGCCTTGATAGCAAACGCTGTAGGCACACCCCGATTCCCAATCTTCTTCTGCGACCTCCCAAACCTGCACACCCACCCAATCTCCCAGCCTCCATCGCACTCCTGCAGCTCCTTGAGATACTCGATGTCGGACTGTGCCCAAACCCCCAACTTCTGACATGACAGCACCCGCGCCGCAACGGCAAACGAATCATCCTTTTGGCCGACTCTCTCTCGCAGCGCGGCAGCCAACGGCTCCCTCAGCGCCTGAATCTCCGGCTGATGCTGATTGGCATCAACCAAGCATGCCATAAAGTACAAAAACGGTTCGGCAGAGTTATACACTGCGGTGCCATTTACATAGGCGCGATTGAGCAGGATACGCGTGACGAATTCGAGTTCGGGTTTTACTTCGTTGCCGCGGTTGTAGTGGTAGAAGACGCGGATTACGTTTACCAGTACGAAGGGGCAGAGGCCGGGCCGTTTGGGGTCGAAGTAAGTTCGTACGAGGTTGTCTCTGGTGTGACGACATTTGGCCATGAGATCGAGGATGGGGTCGGCGGAGGAGCGGGGTGGGGAGAAGGCGAGGAGGGCCATGGATGTGTCGTCGACGTCGTCGGGGACTGGTAGAGGTTCAGGATTAATTTTGAGTTTCAGACGGAGGATGTGTGTGTGTGTGTGGGGGGGGGGGGCGCTTACATGTCTTTGTTGTGCCTACGGGGGTACCGTTGAAGTAGTTCCAGGTTCTTGCTTCGGAAGAAGCTTTTTGGATGTCGGCTTTGATTTGGGCCTCGGAAGCACCGGGCGCAGATAGAGTGAGCCAGGAGGCTTCTCGAAGTTCCCAGTGGATGAGAAACTGGGAGAATCGTTCGGGGAACTCTGTACCGTCTTCTATTTGCGAAGTGTGCTTGTGTGCATTGGAGGCCATGTACTTGCGTGCCCGGGTTACAGGGTCGAAGAGCGTGTTTCGCAGTTGGCGGAGGAGAGCTGGTGCTGATTTGAAGACAATGCCTTGAATTCCAAAGGAGCGTGCTGCAGTGACGTTGATGATTTTGTCGTCGACGAAGATGGCCGATGACGGGTCACTGACGCCGATTGTATCAAGGACGTGTTTGTAAAAGTTGAGCTCAGGCTTGGCCATGCCAGCGTCACATGACGCGAATTCGCCATCAAATACACTCCAGTCAGACAGCACAGTCTTGAGATGTGCAAAGTCGTGCTTGGAGATGTTACTCATGGCGTAAACTTTGAGGTGCCCATCCATCTCTTTTTTGATCTTTGCAATCTCATCAACGAGATCCTTGTCTACACAAAGCGTCTTGCGGCATTGTGTCAATCCGTCCTTGATTGCTTTTGGGTCTAGGGACAGCTCTTTGCCAATTTTTGCGAGAGCTTCGTCCTCGCCAATGTGACCACGATCAAGCTCGGCCCATGTAGGAGTCAGAAGGACCGCCTGGAACTCTTGACGAGAGAGGGCTGTGAGATAGCGAGAAGAGTAATGAAAGAGCACGTCACCGAGATCGAGAATGAGCGTACGGTGTCGTGGTGGCGTGGAGGTATCCGCATTGACCCTCCCGTTCCCTAGCTGAAAAGCGGCACGGCCCATGATAGTAGCGTTTATAGTAGGTTGATCACTCGCGGAATGGTGCAAAGTGTAATGATCACTCGACGAGTTTCAAGCAGAGCCAAAATGATTTGTGAAAATCTGCCGCCGTAGTGGAAGGGCGAGGACCCATTTCTACCCATTTTACAGTGGCCGGCTTTGATAATCGACACCAGGTTTCGGCGATTCATGATTCAGTTGCAGCATAATCAGTGAATCGTTAGCGTTGATAAAGCGGTGCGTTTATGTTGTCGTTGACTAAACCAGTACGGATATAGACAGTAGTCATGTTGGACCGTTTGTCTAGACGGATTCGGTAGGAGTTAGGCGCCATACCCGCCGTAAGGATACTGGCGATTCGCTACTCCTTCCGTTGTTGTGCGCTTCTTGTCGGTCTGGGTCCAATGAAAATCTCGTTGATAGGCAAGGAGGAGGCACGGCCTTGGCATTATTGTAGGATCCAGGGTAAAAGCTCTTCAAAGCAATGGATCTGCTATGCTCCTCGGAGCTGACCTCGTATGATGGAATCGCCTGCAGAGAAAAGAACAGAAAATCTGCCATGATCCGAATGTCGAGTCTCCGTAACTAGACGGGTTGTGCGTTGTGTATTACACAAGGCAAAGGGGGTGACTGATGATTTGATGCTTGCAAGATGTGCAATGGTGTCAAGGATGATGACTCGTAGTGAAGTGATCCTGGCCGTGGTAATTTTCCTGGCGATCCTGCCAATCCTACGGAGAAATGCGTGTGCGTGTTGCGGGTATGCCGCTTTAGGAGTTTAGGGAGAATGGCGATAGTCGTTGGACGGCGTTTGTGACATGCAGGGGGAGGGGGGGAGCCCAAGCCGTTGGAACCTTGGCCGCGTGTCGCCCCGGCCCAGCGTTCCGCGTCTGCGCCGAGCTCCCAGCCCGAACTGTAGCTTCACCTTACGTACATGGACAGCCGCCATTACCCCACGCCCGCCCCACCACAAACAACAACAACAACGACGCCGTCTCCAAGCACCACACCTACACACATACATACACAATGGCGCCTCCAGTCTCTTTGGTTGTACGGTTTGGCGACATGCTTCAACAAGGCAGCACCCCGGGAAGGCTAATGAGGGGTAGGCGAAGCTCAAGATACAGCTCAAACTGTCCATATCGCGACTGCGCATGGTGCAGCAAAAAGACAGCGCAAAAGTAAAGCAGCAGAGGCGGGAGATGGCACAACTCATCGAGGTACGCATGGCAACGTGCCCGTATTCTCATCGCTTTTCACCATAAAACAAAGTGGCCGCGCAAATGACCGCACGCGCATACCACCCATCACCCACCACCTGCTGACCTGATCCCCCCTTACCACTAGGTCGGCAAAGTCCAATCTGCAAGGATACGCGTAGAGAACATTATTCGCACAGATATCACCACCGAGCTGCACGAGATCCTCGAACTATACTGCGAACTCCTGCTTGCCCGCTCCCAGCTCCTCGAATCCCAGATCTCGTCTTCAAACACCACCTCCGCGGCTTCGTCGTCGGCGACGCTACTCGACCCCGCATTGGAGGAGGCCGTCCGCAGCATAATATACGCCGCGCCGCGCACAGAGATTAAGGAGCTGCAGACGGTCCGGGCGCTGCTGGTGGATAAGTTTGGCAAGGATGTCGCCATTGCAAGTATGGAGGGCGAGGGTGTCGCAGAGAGAGTAATCAAGAAGCTGCGGGTCGAAACACCAAAGGCAGAGTTAGTCGAGGCCTACATGACGGAGATTGCGAGATTCTACGGCGTGCCGTATGGCACGTCCAAGAGCGAGGATGAGGCTGAAGACGATGAAGACGACGACGAACCCTCGGGCGGAGTGGCCGAAAGAGCTGAAGGAGTCCTCGAAGACCCACTGACCGCAGACGATGCGGACCCCAGCAAAAGTAAGAAGGCGGAGGAGAGAGAGGCCCTAGCCAAAGCTACAACGCCGAAGAAACTCGGCCCCCAAAGTCCGCTGCGAGTCGTGCCTCCAAGCCCTAGCACAGATAATGTCGCTCCCAGGTTAAAGTTGCCAGGCAGTGCGGCAGCCAAAATCGCAAAGAGTGATGCGAGCGCGAAGAAGCCGGCCAAGAAGGAGGATGGGCTCGGCAAGATACCTGATGTTGATGAACTTTCCAGACGGTTTGCTGAGCTCAAGAGGTGAGGCCTAGTACATGTTTTGTGTGGAAGCACTTGCATCGTATGACAAAGCATGACTCTAAAGATCCTTATATGATACCACAATCAGTTCGCAATCACACCGCACCCAGTTCCGTCAAGAAAGGTTGTTTGTTCAATCATTAAATTAGTGTTCTGCTTTCTCGCTCGCTTTGTTCTCACCCTATCATCGACTGTACCCCTCACAGCGCCTGAATGCTCTTGAAAAACCCATTCGCCATCAACTTCTCATTCCCCTTGACCAACTCCCTCATCCGCTCCACCTGCTGCTGCTTCGTCAACCCCTTACTCTCCACCTCCTTTTTCCACTCCACCAACACCTCTTTTAGCAAGCGACTCCCATCTTCAACCTCCTCTTTACTCGCCTGCACAAACCCCTCTTCATGCTTTCCAGAAAAGTCTTCAAGCTCGTCCGCCTTGCGCTTCGCCATATTGATGACTTTTTGCGGGAAGCGCACCAGCTCCGCGACGTGAATACCAAAAGACTGGTCAGAGAAACCCGGTTCCACCTTATAGAGAAGCGTGACTTCGCGTTTCTTCTGCGCAGCCGCATTCTCCATATCTACATCGCCGTCGTCGTCAGGTGCGCTGCTGCCCTCTGAGATATGCGCTACGACGTGCAGATTCTGGACCTGCGGATACGTATCCGTGAGCGCAGTCAATTCGTGGAAATGCGTGGCAAACAGGGCAAACGCCCCAATCTCCTTGATAATGTACTCTGAAATGGCCCACGCCAGTCCGAATCCGTCGTACGTACTTGTTCCACGGCCCAGCTCGTCGATGATGATGAGTGATTCCTTGGTGGCGGATTTGAGGATATTCGCTGTCTCGAGCATTTCGGCCATGAAGGTAGATACGCCTTTGATTTGGCTGTCGCTGGCGCCCACACGTGCGAGTATGCAGTCGAAGATGGTGAGTTCAGCTTCTGAACACGGGACGAAGCAGCCGATTTGCGCCATGAGGGCGATGACGCCGATTTGGCGGATGTAGGTCGATTTACCGCCCATGTTGGGTCCTGTGATGATGAGGAATTCGCTCTTGTTGCGGACAAGAGAGACGTCGTTTGTGATGAAAGATATGTCGTCTTGCATTTCCATGCATGGGTGTCGCGCTTCTTTGAGGACCGTGTCGCCAGTGCCTCGTGCATGCATCTTGGGCCGTGTGTACGAGGTTGGCGCATGAACAGAGACATGCGCAAAGGCTACAATGACATCGAGATGTGCAAGTACCGCGGCGAGCTTCTCAATGACAGGGACGTAAGATGAAGCTACAGAGACGACTTCGTTGACCAGGCCTGCCTGTGTGCGGTTGTAGTTTTCAGACAACTGGTCAAACTCTCTACGCTTTTCTTGCAGGGTGTTTGTTGTGAAGTAGACACCGTTCTTCTGTGTCGAAATTTCTTGGTATTGCTTCTTTTGTCGAATGCAACCTGCTTCGTTGCGCGTCAGACGGAAGCACCAGCCGTTGACTTTGTGGTTTTCAAGGAAAAGCTTCTTCTCGGTATCTTGATTGAGGTCGTCGCCCACACGCATATGCTCGGACTCCATGTCACGCTTCAATTTATCCAAACGCTTACGAATGGTCCTTAGCGATTCATCAAACTCGGGCTTGATGATGAATTCATGGTTGTCGAGAGCTTCCAAATCAACCGTTGTCTCAACCATGTCTTGCAGACCTGCAAACGCTGTGGTGTATTGGCGGAGCTTCTCAGTGTACTCTGCATCAAGTGGCTCTTTGTATTGCTCATCAATGACCGCCTCGAAAGAGCTGAGGAAGCCCGGTAACCGGATGACAACTTGATATGCTCGTACAACGTCTTCCAAGTTTGCTGCCTTGCGTTGGAACTTCTTTGCTAACCGGTATAGGTCAGGTATTGAGCGTAGGTGCTCTTCCTGCATGGTCTGCCTCAGCTCTGTATCGTTGACGAACGCTTCAACTAGCTGCTGCCGTCGCTCAATCTCGCTGATATCCATCAATGGCTGCTTGAGCCATTGTGCCAGTAACCGACTGCCGGTCGGTGTTTTGCAGTGATTGAGTAGACCATACAAACTCATGTTCTTGGCACCATCTCGTGGTCCAGGCATGAGGTTCAGTGCTTTCAGCGCAGCCGCATCGAGCTTCATATATTGTGACAGGTCGTGTTGGTAGAGCTGATATTGCCCAAAATTTGATGAATCAGACATGACGCCCAGATACCGGATCAGACACGCAGCTGAGCCCATGGCTAGCTTCTGGTCTGTCAAAGGCAGTGAACCAGCGGTACGATCGTCCTTGAGCAACCGAGGCAAGTCTTGCTCGATATCTTTTGTGCCAAAGTCGGCCGATGCTCGCTCTGCCACTGCACACCCGCAATTGTCGGCAATAGTTCGAAGCTTGCTGAGCTCTACATCCTTCTTCGTTGAGTCGAGTTGTACCAGGCACTCCTTTACACCCAGCTGGATGAGTAGTGACTCGAAGTTGGAATAGAGGTCATTGTCGAGGAACTCCGAAACACCCAACTCCCGTACACTTGCGTCAGCAAAGCATACACCTACCCTCCGTGCTTCCGATGCTTTGGCCGATACTTTGACCGCCAGTATTATAGGGGCACTCTCAATCTGACCGCCCAGCTCATCCTCCAGATCTTGTAGGTTGCCCGGTGAGGCCTGTTTGACAACCTTCCAGTCCATGCGCTTGCCTGTTGACTGCCATATCTCAATGCGTTTGCTGAGTCGGAATAGAGCGTCTCGGAGGAAGTTGCGGAAAACGGTGACGGTCATTGTGACGGACTCGAGTCCTGGTTCTCGTCCCAGCTTGCGGATTACCGCCGTGGTCTTGTAGACCTGTAACAATGTCAATTTGTTGGTCATAAACCAACCCTCCACGGACAGACTTACAGTGTTCGCAATGAACTTGGCATCCTCGCCGTGGGCGCTGTAGTAGTCGCCACGGTCGAATATGCGCACCGTCTCATTGTCCTTTTCTTCTAGATTGCGAAAGAATTTGCAAAAACCAGACTCATCCTCCTCCTTGATCTCTGGTCTAGACGCCATTTTAAGCTATGCAGTAAACGATAAAGGCAAAGTTGAACAGACGAGCGATTGGAAGTTGACACAAGTGGAGTTGATGATTGGAGACGCTAGTATCCGTTAATTGATTTAGACGCGTCGACGCGTCGCCTCCATGCCAAGCTTTGTTATCGATAAGCATGTCTACTTATGGATCCCTCCATATCTTTCTGTTCCATGATAGTGTTTTTATAGTTTCAATGACGCGCTAAATAGTGGAACATTGGCTCTTGCAATTCAGATTGGCTTGTGGTTTCACAAAACAGCTAGTGCTATTATAGTTCCTTCACCCATGGACACAACAGGCATTTGACATCTATTCCTCCCAAACTGCTTCGACAATCGCCAAATTTGAGCCTTGGGGATGGTGCATATTACGGAATTTGAATCTCGCATCTGCATCTTGTAACAGAGCCTTCCACTCATCCAGGCTGCGCTCTTTGGCATTTCCAATTTCCAACATGGTCAGATCGATACCTCTAATAGCTGATTAGCATCATGGCCGCTGATGAATGCAAGGACTAAGTATGAGTACCTAAGTTTTCGCTCCAGATT